TTTAATAAATGTCTCTTCATTTTCTGTGGCCCACGTGGTCCACAGTGCTCCTAAAAACACTGTCGCATCTGTGTGTCTGATGGATTCTGACCGGCCCTCATCCAACATTCATCAGGCAATTATGTGCCTGGCACTGAGCAAACTGCAGCTTAGTACAGAGGGGGCTTCGTGGGCCGTTCTGTGTCTCAATAATAAATGAGTATTATAATTCTCACTTAAAAAAAAACACTAAAGGAGAAGCCAGGCCAAGAAAAGATTATATTTCCTGTTAGAATTCCAAGTAGTTACCAACACTACAGTTACCATATTTGAGATAGCGGTAACAATAAGATCAAATAGTTAATCACATGGTGAGCACGAGAAGGACCCCAGAGTAAACAATGATTTGATAGAAAAGTGTGTGAAGACCAGGACCAAATTTTATCCACCAGCTCCTACTACAGCACTATACATAGAAGATACTCTTCAGGTTACTATTCCTGAAAACCTGATCACCCCAAAGTTAGTGGCATTAAAAATAATAACCGTTTTGTTGTGCTCACAGATCCTGTGGTTTCTGTGGGGCTAGCTCGTGTCTGCTCCAGGAGCCCTAGGGCCTCTGCCTGGAAGGACTGAGGGTGTCCAAAGGGGACACACCGGTGGAGGGCTGGAGCCGTCTGAACCCTCGGTCACTCACGTGGGTGGTGGTCGATGCGGCTGTCAGCCAGGACCTCAGCTAGGAGCCCACACAGGGCTCTCCACGAAGCTGCCTGGGCTTCCCCTCAGCATGGTTGTTGGGTTTTTAAGAGTCAGCACTTCAGGCTTGGTCCGGTGGCTTCCTTAGTTGGAGCATCGTCTCATGCACCAAAACGGTTGCAGGTTCCATTCCTGGTCAGGGCACAGACTAGGTTGTGGTTGGATCCTTGAGTGATGTTTCTCTCTCTCTCTCTCTCTCTCTCTCTCTCTCTCTCTCTCTCTTCTCTCTAAAATTAATAGACACAGCCTTGATTAAAGACCCCAAGTATCCGTGTTAAACTTGAGTGTCCCCTTCAGTTGACTGCAAGAACACAGCGTGATTGCTGCCCTTTCCCACCACTGAGGCCAATCCTCACTATTCCTAGATTCTGCATTTGCAAATTCGCCAGCTTGCTCGTATGTATTTATCATTCCAAAAGCAACCCTTACAGCACTTTCTCGATCACTGGTGGACAAGGGCATGCAAAGAGCATTAAAAATTCGAGCCACTGGGAACGCATATTCCCAGCTGAGGTTAAACAACGCAAAGTTCTGCCTTCTATTGGGTTGGTCAAAAAATCCATATGGGTTTTTTTTCTGTGAAATAAGACACAATTTTCATTTTCATTAATCACTTTATAGATTTGGATATTTTGACTATGTTGGCTATCTCCCCACATGGTATAACGTTGATCATTCTCAATCAATGTCTCAATTTGATTCCTGTCAATTTCAACTGCTCTACCCGAATGTGGAGCTTCGTCCAGCAAGAAATCTCCAGCACGAAACTTCGCAAACCACTTTTGACACATTTGATCAGTCACAGCACCTTCTTCATATACTGCACAGATCTTTCGTGTTTCAGCTGCAGTTTTACCTTTCTCAAAGTAATAAAGCACAATATGCCAAAATGTTGCATATTTCCTCCCATCTTCAATATTAAAATGGCTGCAGAAAAATTCACAAATTTTGATGTTTGTTTAAAAGCACACTGATATGACAGCTGTCACAATACAATCTAACAAATTGTTATGAATGAAGTTGAAGACAACTAAGGACTACTAGAGCCATTTTACAGAAAAAAAAACAAATGAACTTTTTGGCTAACCCAATAGCTTCTGCACTCATGGAGTAAAAAAAGTTGTCCTTTTAGAAGTCTCCTTAGTGCCATGGTTTTGGCATTGTGCTTTTTGTTGGTGACTTTGCCATTTAAGATGGCCCCAGGCACAGTGCCAAAGTGCTGTCTAGAGTGGTTAAGCACAGGAAGGCCGTGATGTGCCTTTTGGAGAAGTGATGTGTGTTAGGTAAGCTTTATTAAGGCATGAGGTATGGTGTTGTGGGTTGTGAGTTCACTGTTAATGATGCAACAATGTATATAAAATGAGGTATCTTTGTCCAATAACACGCACAACACAAGCTTATGCATCAACTGGTAGACCAAAATGCTGAGGCCCGCAGGAATCTAACTCTGTAATTCTTCCAGAAGCCAGGGTTCAGTGCTCACTAATTGAATGTTCATGGTGACTTAATGGGACATAGCTGCTGCAGATAGCGAGAACGGGCCCAGTTCCAGCTGCAGGACTCTCGGGCTCTCCGCCCCGGCCGGTTATTAAAGTGCCACGCCGCACCATCCCCTGCGCTGCAGAGCTTGAATAAAATATCTCTTCATAGCGTCATGTAAATGCAGATTAAATAGGAGCTAATAGAAAGAACAATTTTACTGCAGTCAATAAGAAAACTAGCTAGACTGTCTTAACTTATGAGGATAAAACTTGAGGCTTCTAAATTTCATTACATTTGTCGTAATGCAAATTCTATTATTTTGAAATGAATCCCTTCCTTTCCTTCTTTTTGTTCTTTCATATGACTGATTATCACCTTACAATGCAGACAGTTTAGCTTAGTCACCTGTTACTATCTTCATTCGTTCTGTATTCCACAACTTTTAAAATGAATGCCATCCAATTTAGCCTGTTTTTCTATAAGAAAATGCCCCCAAAGGCACTGATAACTGTAAACTGTACTCTGCAAATGAAAAAAAAATAGATTTCTTCAAATAAATGTGAATTATTTGCTTTTCCTCTTAAAAAACACTCTGCAAAGTAAAATTATATTTTTAGTTTCGCAGGCAACTAAATAATGAATCACATCTGTTATTTAAGTTAAAATAGCAGGCAATTTTTTAAAAATCAAAATTCACTATTTATCCTTCAGTAAATAACTCAAAGTCAGCTCTGCACAATAATTGATTCGATAGAAACCCTAGAAAGTGCCAAGTGTCTGCAGGCCACCGCACCCTGGTGTGGGCAGGGAAGGGGCAGGGAAAAAGAGGACACCGATTGCTTGAAAAGTCGTAGGCCATCCAGTGGAATATTATTCGACCACGAAAAGGAAAGACACATGTACTGACCCACGCTACAACACGGGTGACTCTTGCATTATGCTCAGTGAAAAAAACAGCCACAAAAGATCACATATGATATGATTTCATTCACATGAAATGTCCAAAATAGGCCAATCCACAGAAACAGAGAGTAGAATAGTGATTCCCAGGGTCTGAGGGGTGTTGGGGATTGGGAGTGTGCAACACACAGGGACTGTCCTGAAAACCACTGAACTGTACTCTTTAAAACGGCGACTTTTGTGTTACGTGAATTATAGCTCAAAAAAAAGTACTGGGCACAATGCTCATACGCTGCTCGTGAAGATGTAAAATGGTACAGCCACTTGAACAGTCTGGCAGTTCCTCAAGAAGTTGAAGACTGAGTTACCATCTGACCCAGCAATTCTGCTCCTGGGTGTTTACCCAAGAGAACTGAACACACATGTCCATACAGAAACTGTACATGAATGTTTACAGCAGCATTATTCAATGCAGCCAAAACTTTGGAACAACTCAAATGTCCATTCACCGATGAATGGATAAATAAAACATTTATCCAATAGAATATTGTTTAGCCGTAAAAAGGAATAAAATACTAACATATGCTGCAACATGAATGAAGCTTGAAGTACTTTGCTTAGTGAAAGAAGCCGTAATAAAGGGCCACATGCTGTGTGCTACAGCCTGCATGTTTGCGCTGCCCCCAGCACTCACATGTTGCAAACCTAACGCCCACTGCGATGGTGTGAAGAGGCGGGGCCTTTGGGGGGTGAGCAGGTCACGGGCGAAGGCTTCCTCGTGAATGGGATGTGTGCCCTATGAAGGAGACCAGACGAAGCTCCCTTGCTCTTCTCACCGTGTAAGGCGGTCTCACCTGACTTTGCTGCCACCCTGCTCTCAGACTTCCAGCCTTCGAACTGTGAGAAATCCATTGTGGTGGTTCTGCTGGTAGCTACTAGTTTGTGGTACTTTGTTACAGCAGCGCTGATGGATTAAGACACTGTGTAATTTCATTTACAGGAAATGTCCAGGCACAGAGGGCAGACAGTTGCCTGGGGCTGGGGGTGGGGAGTTGGGGAGTGAGGGCTAAAGGGTGTGGGGGTGGGTGGCCATGACAACGTCCTAAGAATTGAGTGTTGTGACTGTTGCACAGAGGCGAATATATGAAACCCCACTGAGAGGTGCACATTAAGTGGGTGAACTATATGGTATGTGAATTATATCTCAATAAATCTTTTAGAAAAAATACAGAATAAATCTAGCCAAGAAACTTAAAAAGCACCAGGGCCTAGCCCACGTCCGGCTCCTATCCCCCTCCGCTCAACCCTCTCCCTTCCCCTTCTACTACCCCCTCCCCCCAGCCTGTTAGACCTGGTGGGAGGACTCAGACGTCTGGGGGTCATTGGGGGAGGGGGGGTCAAGACAGAGGACAGTTTAAGATGCTCTCCAAGCATGACTGGTCCATCCACTTTCTGCGGGGGTGGGGCGGGGAGCACTAGACCGCCTCCTAGGTGGAAAGTTACTCACACCTGGCTGGACTCCTGGATCCAATCCCGCTTGGAGCCCTGGGCCCACAGGGGTGCCAGCAAGGACCGCCAAGTTCAGGGTCGCCAGTGCGTGCCCACCCTCTAGCCGGGAGAAGAGGCCCCCTCCTGCCTTCCACTGGGTGCACCCTCCCGATGCAAGCCCAAGCTCACCCCTCCCAGGAGTACACCCGTCAGCAGAGCGGGCTCCAAGTGCGGGTGGGGCCGCAGGACAGGTTCCCGAAGAGCCGGTTGCACCGGAAACTCCGCCAGCCAGCTGCTCTGTCCTGCTCCCCCGCCCGCCCCGGCTCCCGCAGTAGACACCTCTGCGTTAAAAACAAGGGCACATGGGTGGAGGTGGGAGGGACCGCCAAAGAAATCCGAACCCAAGCGGGCCCTGCAGTCCAGTCCCCCGCCCTCACCTCTGCAGAGGGGACCCGGCAGGGGGCGCGGCCCGGGCCGCAGTTGCCAGGGGTTGGACTCGGGGCCCCTCTGGGTCACAGCCCCTCCTCCCGCCCAGGGCGGGGCAGTGCCCGGAGTACTCCCGCACTGCGGGTGAGAGGGACTCGGGGCCGCTGGCCCCCACTGGGCAAAACCGGGGCGGGGACTTGGGGACCTCAGCGGGCCGAAGGGCGCGCACACACGCAGGCGGGGCGGCCACGAGTGGCCCGGGTGCGACCTTCCCGAGGCCGATCGCCAGGGTCTTCCCTGGATCGCCGGCGCTGCCCATGGCCGAGGCGCTAGAGCCGGAGCCCGAGACTGCGGCGGCCCAGGAGGTGGAGACGCCGGACTGGAAGGCCCCGGGGGATGCAGACGCCCAGGTAGGAGCCTCCCGGGGGCGCGAAGGGTGTGGGCCGGGCTCGGGGGAGGCCTTCTTGGGGAGGCTTTGTAGTGAGGCCGGGGGTCCCGCAGGTATAAGTGAAAAGCACAGTTGTAAAATGGCCTGAGCCCCTAGCTCCACTCCTACAAAAACGGGAAAATTCTGTCGGTTAGCCATAACCCCGGGTGCCGGCCACATCTCAGTTTCTTTTCTTTGCCGAGGGTGGGGGGTGGGTTAGGGTGGTGGAATCGATCTTGTCCTGGAACACGCGGTGGAGCCCTCAGGGCCGAGGGGACCTAACAGCAACTTTTTCTTAACAAGAATTGGGCTGATTCCTCACCCCCCCCCACTCCCGCCTCACCATCAACGCCCCCTTCATGCCCCCCTCCTCAGCCGCCCTGCAGCCGCACACTTGGGGTCAGGGCTGAGGAGGGCCAAAGCCGCGGGGGCGCCGGGTGGCGGGTTGGGGTGGCTCCGGACCCCGCCCGGCACTAAGGAGCCAGAACCTGGGGCCGGAGCCAGAACCTGGAGCCGGACCCAAGTGGGGCGCAGCCTCCGGGCGGGTCGTCCCGTGGGGGCCCGAAATCAAGGCACCCGAACTGTTGCATGTCGCGTCCTGCCTTGCTGGCAGCGCTCCCCCAAGTTTTCTGTCCCCCTGCAGCCCGGAAGCTACGAGATCCGACACTACGGGCCGGCCAAGTGGGTCAGCACCTGCGTGGAGTCCATGGACTGGGACTCCGCCATCCAGACCGGGTTCGCCAGGCTGAACAGCTACATCGAAGGCAAAAACGAGAAAGGTGAAGGCAATTTACGTTGTAATTATAGAGATCATGGCCGGGCCCCCTGGCTTATTCTTGAGTTTTAGCTTATTAAAGAAATATCCTTTAGAATAGAAAAATAACCGGATCAACAAAAACTTGGTGTTTGAAGACGAGGCTCCTGCTCGGGATCCCCCGCAGGGTCTAGAGGACGGGATGTTGCTGGACCAGGGGCCTCTGTAACTAGTGTTCGCACCTCTTTACGGCAACGCTTCCGGATTATATCTGGTGACCAGTAGGGTGAGAGACGCCAGGAGGCAGATGGGCACAGAGAACATGGGATCCAGAGTCTCAAGACCCAAGTTCCGGTTCTGGCCCTGGCGGTATTCATATTCTAAAAGGCTGCTTTGCCAGTGGGACTTCAGTTTCCGAATCTTAAAAGTAAAGGACGGGGCCATGTGATTTCTGATCTTCTCTGCTATCACTAAACCTTTAGAATTTAGTAACCAAAAAAAGTAAGTGTTTAATATGGACAGTGGATAACTGAGTCATTTTGGCCTTATTTTTTAAAGATGAAAATCATCTAAAAGGTAAATACAGGGTGGGGCAAACATAGGTTTACAGTTGTTCATATGGAAAATAATACAATAATTAGTAAATGAGCCCTGGCTGGTGTGGCGCAGTGGATTGAGCACAGGCCTTCGAACCGAAGGGTCACCGGTTCACTTCCCAGTCAGGGCACATGCCTGGGTTGCAGGCCAGGTCCCCAGTGGGGGGTGTGGGAGAGGCAACCACACATTGATGTTTCTCTCCCTCTCTTCTCCCTCCTTTCCCCTCTGTCTAAAAATAAATGAATAAAATCTTTTAAAACAAGATCATACAAGAATAAGCTGTTTTGCCTACTCACAATGGTGAACTACTTTTGCCCTCTCTGTTTATGCCAATAGCATAAAGTAAATCATGAAACACAGATCCCGAAACAATAGGCAGAGTTAAAAGCGGTGACCAACACCCTGCATTTGCTTTCACGGTCTCCTTTGTGCTTAAAAAATATCTTTGTGGCCCAGAGATGAAAATAAAGATGACAGCCCCCGTGGTGAGCTACGTGGAGCCGGGGTCAGGCCCTTTCAGCGCGTCTACCGTTACCATTTCCCTGTACGTCCCCTCCGAGCAGCAACCGGATCCGCCCAGGCCCTCAGAGTCGGATGTCTTCATTGAAGACAGAGACGAGATGACCGTGTTTGTACGGTGAGTGGTGGAGAACTGATAGCCCGGCCGACTGCTCGTGTCACTGGCCTGCGCTCGCTGTTTCGCTCCTATGCAATTTCAGTAGGCTTTTTCCCTGTTCCATACAAACAGGTCTAACGCACATTTGCGGCGTTTTCTTACTGGCTTAGTTCTGTTTGTTACCAAGGGTCTGTTGCGATACAATCGATTCATTTAATGAAGTCTGTTGCATGCCTTCTACAAATCAGACACAATGCAAATTATTGCCTCCAAAAGCATAAGACCGCCCTTACCTGCTATCTAGCTAAGCCTGAACAAGAATACTTCCCACTTCTAGGTGCTGATAGCCCCAAACTCATCCCTTTTGTTCCCCGGCCCAAGAGATGGCTGCTGCTTCCTGAGGGTGTCACTGGTTTCTTTTTACTTTCTTTGACTTCTAATGCCTGTTTCCCTGATTCCTTATATTAAATTCTCTGTTGAAATTGAAAACACACACAGTACATGATAATAATAGTCTCACACCGGACTCCCTTTATTACTCCCTTTCGCTCCCTCCCATCCCCACCCACCTGTTAAGGAATCTGTCTCTGCTTCCTCACCTCCCACACACTCCGCAAACCACCACGGCCTGGCACAGCAACACCATCTCCGTGGAATTGCTCTTGTCGCCGTCCACAGTACGCTCGGTTTGTTACATAACAACAGACCCTTCCCAGGGGCCCCTGCGGCCTTTGCGTGTGGACCAGTCTGTTCCCTGACACCTGTCCATCCTGTAACCCCCTCGTCATTCCTCTCCTCCTCCCCAGCTCCCCACCCCAACAGTCTCTGTTGATGCCTGTTATCCGCCCTCACGTCCCAGCAGACTTGCTCCGGGTGATCTGTTCACAGTGCTTCAAATACCTGTTTCTAATGACTCTCAGATTTAGTGTCTCCAGCCCGATATCCCTACTCGCTGGGCATTTCCTCGTGGGGTAGGGGTGGAGATCAAACACAACAGCTCCAAAAACATGCCATTCACCCATTCCCAGGTTCCATGGTTGGTGATGTTACGTGGCCCCTGTCTCAGTAAAGGGCCTCATCAGCCTATCGGCCTCCCTGGCACGGACCTCTAAGGCCATGTCAGTGCATTGTTCCCTGACAGCTGGTTTCCAGATCCAGCCCATGCCCTTGAATGATCGTAAGTCTGCTCCCTTCCCTCCAGCCTCAGAGTTGCTTCCTCTTATGGGGACCACACCGAAATCATCTTTGTCTACTCCAGTGGGGGGCACGATACCCACGTCTATTGATCTCCGACCATGACTATTCCGCTTCCCCTCTGCCCACCCGTCTCTTCCTCCCTTCCCTTCCTCTGCACTGGAACTGTGCCTTCTGTACAACAGCAAGAAAGCCCCAGCTTGTCAGCTTCTTCTTGCTTCTGGGTGAAGTTCAGGTGGCTCATTCACATTGTACACAACGCCTGCTATGACGCGGCCCGGCCCTGTCTGTCCCACTGGCTGTGTGCCACTGACCGTCCCCCTATTCACAGAGTTCTCTGAGCAGGATGCATCCTTCCACATCTCTGCCTCTGACAGCAGGCGAGCCGCTAGACTCCCCTTGCCAAAATCTCTACATCTGGAACATGTGTATAATCACAGTAGCTGCCTGTGTCATAGGGTTGCCGTGACTGAATGAGTTAATGTACATAAAATACTTAGAACCTGAACACGCCATTTCACCCAGTTCTAGCTTCCTCTTCTCTTTCTAGAGAGCCCACTTTCGTCCTCTAGGGCTTAGAAGGACACCTCGTCTGTGATAACTTCCTCGGTGTCTCCAGTCAGCTCACACTCTGTCCTTCTGTTATTCTAAAGTATAATGACCCATTGACAGCCAGTGACTTCCCCAGAAATACAGCAGCACATTGCTCTGTCCGTGCCCTTCAGCTCCAAGCACAGCAGGTATGTGTGGGGAGGCTCAGTGTGTTTGTGACTGAAGAAGCACGGATGGATCCTTGTAGAACAGCATGTGTTCACAGAACAGAAGGTGATCTCTAATGAGGGGCTTCAGGATGTGATTTCAAGGAAGAAGTAGGATCTGCAAACAAATTCCCTTTTGGCAGAACGCACCAAGATTTGGCTATTGTTAAGGAAATAAATAATAAATTCAAGAGACAAAGTATTGCTTAACATGTAGTTCACGACTGTTATCCGTCAACACACTGAAAATTACAGAACTAGTCCTACACTCACTCGACAAGGATTTGAGCGAGCCTACGTGCCAACAATGATTCCAGGTGCTCGACAGACTGTTGAGTAGAATAGACGTGGTGTGGCCTGGACCCTTGAGAGCTTCCATCTTTATCTGAAGGGTGGGACTGGCCCTTTCTTGATAATAAAACTCATGCTAGAGAAGGCACACCAGGAATGGTCTTGGCTCTCGGTGTTTCCTATTCTTAGCCTTCGGAATCAAATCCAGCACATTCACTCGTCAGCAAGTCAGCTGAGTCTGCCTCGTGATGATTTAATGTCAGGGTATTTTAAAATTTGTGCTTAAATTTTTATTCTTTTTCCCCACTTTTAATTTAAATCTTTTTAAACAATAGGTTTTATTTATTTATTTTTAGAGAGAAGGGCAGGGAGGGAGAAAACACCAGTTGGCTGCCTCTCACACGTTCCCGACGGGGCGCCTGGCCCACACCCCAGGCGTGCGCCCCAACCAGGAATTGAAGGAGTGGCCTTTGAATTTCCAGGATGACGCCCAACCCACGGAGCACACCAGACATGGCTAATATGAAACTGTTGACTGTCTTTCCTTTCCCATCTCCAAAGCTCCCCTGTATCTCACCAAGATCTGACCAAGTTACATTTCTGCTCAGCATCCTGTTGAGATACTTAGAGAATAGCCCCCAAAGGTCTGAGGGTGATGCTGTGCAATGTTCGTCCTTCTGACCCTGACTCACTCCCTGCGCTCCCTTTGTGCCTCGCTGTGAGGATGCTTTGCATTTTTGGACTCCTGTTCTTTTTCTTATCCTCGCCCTTTCTCTGCCCAGCAAAAACACCCTCCATCCACACCCAACTCTGGCCACACCCCTGGTTTTGATTTAATCATACCCTCAGCATTCCTAAGCACTTCCATCCTGTCTCTGTTAAACCTCGTCTCGGGTTCTAGAGAGAGCTGCCAAGATGTTTGACTCTTGCTTTAGACTGTAAGTTCATAGGGTCAAAACTATATTATTTTCATCATAAATCAGTGCCTATCCTTTGCCCAAGGAGAGGAAGAAAGGGGAAATGTTCAATAGAACATTGGAACTCTGGAAGGGAGGCTTCTAAGTGGGTTTCAGTGTGGTCCTCTGACCAGCAGCATCGGCATTACTGGGAGCTTGTTACAAATACAGACTTTCAGGCCCCATCCCAGACTTCCTGAAGCTGCACGTCAGCAGGATTCGTAGGCACATTAAAGTCTGAGAAGCACGGAGTTAGAGGACGAGATGGTGTAAATTCCAAATCTACCTGCCAACAGCTGGGCCCTCAGTGTGCTGAGGCTGCACTGAGACTGGGTACCAGAGGGAGGCAGTGCTCAGCTCAGGGGCTGAGCGGGCTCGGGGGTTGAGTGGGCTCAGGGGCTGAGCAGGTGGAGCTCTGAAACTGAGCTTCCTCCAGCTTCATTGTATCAGCTGCAGCTTTGCCTTTCAGACTGACTTTGGCACCAGTACTAGGCAATCATTCACGGTTATTTACGTTCTTCTTTGTAGGTCTTTCGGTGGATTCTCTAGTGCCCAAAAGAATCAAGAACAACTTTTGACATTAGCAAGCATTTTGAGGGAAGAAGGAAAAGTTTTCGATGAAAAGGTGTACTACACTGCAGGCTACAACAGCCCTTTCAATCTGCTTGACAGAAATAATGAAGTGTGGTTGATTCAGAAAAATGAGCCATCCAAAGAAAACGAATGAGAAAATGAAGCGAAGCAGCATCGCCAGGGGCTAAACTGTTGAACACAGACAGCAGCACACCTCTAAGTAAAATGTAGGCCTAGGATCTTCTCCCTGAGAGTATGAACGGAGCTTATTTCCAATGTGCCTTTTAATGCTTGAAGCTGTATTGAGATACACAGATGAGAGGGGACAATCTTTTGTACACATGGACATTGGTCATAACCCTGGTGGTCTTTGGTTCTATGAGGCTCCAGGGAAATGTGAAGTTACTGCCCCTTCTTCCCTGTATCACAATCATGTTGCCTTTTTCTACCTGGGTTTGTGTCAGTTGGGTGTTATCCCCTCTAGATGTTATCAGTAAAATGTTAGAGGTTTCCTGTGCGGAACTGCTAGGCTGTCGGGCCTGGAGGGGTGAGGTCAGGACTGCACACGGAAACCAAGGGTCTTTAGCTGCCACGGTTACAGTCTGTCGAGTCCTGTTCCCCACCCGCCCACCACCCCCACCCCACAAAAATAGTTCTCATGGTACCCAAAAGTATCTAGAACATTTTTTGATGAATTCATATAAGTAGGAAATTCCCATCCTATTTTGATATTCAGTAAAGGTGTGCTCTTCCTGAAAATGTATAAAATATAAAAATTCAAGTGAATTTTTAAGTAATTTCATGTAGTACTTCTGGAGGTTGTATAAAATGACTAACTAATAAAAAAGTAGGTGGCACAAAATCAAGGAGGTTGAAATGTTCATTTCTGTTGGAAACTGACCGGAGAAGACAGACACTTTCTTTTTTTTTTTTTAATGATTTTTATTCATCCATTTTTAGGGAGGGAAGGGAAGGGGGAGAGAGAGAGAGAGAGAGAAACATCAATGTGCGGTTGCTGGGGGTTATGGCCTGCAACCCAGGAATGTACCCTGGCTGGGAATTGAACTTGGGACACTTTAGTTCCCAGCCCGCGCTCAGACAGACACTTTCTGATACTAGAAGTCAGCCTCAGGGACGGGCATTGGCTTGGCTGTGGACTCCGAGAGGGTGGCAGTTGTAGGAGTCAGGGAGAAAAGCAGGCTGGGGCTCAGTCACTGTCCAACGCTTAGAGCTGCCCACGAGTGACCCTTCTTCCAGTTCCCAGAGTGGTGTGGTTGAAGCAGGACCACGTGATGTCTCAGATAGGAGATCTGACAATCCAGTGGATGAGAGAGGATGGGGCCACAGGGTGCTTGCGATCCCTTCAACCCCAACGTCATATAATAGCTCTTGATATTAACCTCCCTGACCTGGATCCAATGGACTAACATTCCTGTGGTTAATGGTTTCCAAAGCTAACAATTACGGACAGGCTTCTGGGTGTGCCATCCCAGGGGCTTCACCTGAATCGCCACATGCAGCCCTCCGAAGAGCTCCCTGTGCCGCGCTGAATCCTCTCCACCTACTGATGAGGACACTGGGCACAGAGATGCTAGGTCACCGGCCCCAGGTGAAGTGAAGGAGAGAGGCTAATTCGAGCCCGGGCAGTCGGACTCCTCGGCCCACGCTGTTCCCCACGATGCCCCGCTGGCAGATGGCTATCCAGTGGGCCAGGGCTGTCTGGGGCCGTTCTCACATAGCACAGGCACATAATCAACGTGATTATAACCCCAGAGGTACCTTTAGACTAATTTTTTATTAGAAAACAAGCTAGATTTCTGGTTCTGAAATTATTATGGACATAATCTTAAAATCCCAGGTAATTATTTTCCAAAAGTATCTGCTTGCACCGACTATGTACTGATCCATCACCTTTCACCACTTGCCAGAGATGCTGCCTGTTTTTTTGAGCTCCTTCGCCACCCAGGCTGGAGCATACCCCCCTCCCCCCCGCCGGCCCCGCTCTCCCGACAACTGTCCACGGCGCTGGCCTCTCCTGGCAGGAATTAAATATTTCCAACCTCCTGTGCCGTCCTATGTCAAACAGGCATCTCTTATGCAGTAAATCCCACTTCAAGTAAGAGAAGCATATTTTTTGATTACCAAGATTTAGCAGGAATCTGAAACATGTGCAATAAAAAAATCAATTGTGTGCTATTCAAGTCCAGGGTGTCCCTTTCCCCTCCTTGTCCATAAATCATGAACTAGAACATTTTCCAGCTCTGAACTGATCAATCCAGAGAGTATTTCTCACGGTAGAGAATCAGTTGTTTCAATTATGTGGCTGACACCAATTATATAATATCCCTTACGTCAACATTTCTCTTGAGATTTTCCTTCTCTCGTCTATGGGAAATGCACACCTAGACTTTTCCTTAGGCTACACCTTCCACCTTCGCTGTTGGCCTAACTCTCGCTCCACCCACCAGCCCCTTGCCCTTCCTCCCGGCTCTCCCTCTCCACAGGCTTCAGTCGACTCTGCCGGACCGCAAACCACCCCCCAATATGAAACCCCAGTCACCCCTAGACCCGTCCCCCCTCCCTTGTGTGACTTTCCAGTTTCTCTGGAAAGAGTCGTCTAAGGGCTTCCTTGCAGCCCTTCGTGTGAGCAGGCACCCAGGGACCATGACAGAGGAGCAAGGTGTCCCCCCACCTCTGTGCTTCCACACAGGGCCGCTGCATTTGCCTATCCATGTGTCAATTTTTCATAAGACTGTATGCGTCTGTCTGAAGACAATTCATTTCAACTCAGTGCATTCATATATTTCTTTCTAGACATTACTTAACGTCCCCCAAATCTCATTTCCTCCCATAACATTTCATTTGAAATGTCATTTATTTTTAAATTCATTCTTAAATAAGTCATTAGGGAGTCCTCTCTGTGTTCCAGGAGCTGGAATACGGTGGTGAACAGAAATGCTCCCTCGTCAGTGACTTTGAAGCCATCAAATCCGACGTCTTTCACTCTTCTGTTCGGCCCACCTTCCACTGAGAATACAGCCATGCGCGGGACAGACAGGGCCCCTGTTTTCATGGTGTTTCCATTCCAGAGAGAGTTCAAATGTTGATACGAGTGAGATGGGCCCGTGGGGCGGGGTGTGGCCGGGCAGAGCGTGGAGGGTGTCACGTGCAAGGGTCAGGCAAGGCCTCACGGAAGATTTTGAAAGGTGAATGCTGAGAGGGGGCCAGCCAGACAGGAGCCTGGGGGACAGGGGCCAGCATCTTGGGCCGAGGTGACCATGTCAGAAGAAAAGGCCATGGTCAGCACCCAGAACAAAAACTGCATGTACTGCTTGCTGAGCAAGAGAGAACAGTGCTGGCAGAACACACTCTTCCTGGACAAAGAAAACTGCTGACCTTGGACAGGGCTTAGGAAGCATCAAGTTCAAGGATTATGACTTTCAGAAGCACGGAGGGATAGATTTCGAGCTATAGTTGTGGAGGCACAGTTACCCGAGTGTGGCTTCTGGGCATTAGTGTGATTTAGGAGCCTAATCACTGATTGTTGCTGGCATTTATTTGTCTTGTGGCCAGAGAATGGTCATTTCTTTTCTGGGACCTGCAGTTGTGACAGACAAGCATGCGGAGGTGCGCCATTCACATCCACTTTCAAAAGAGGACACGCAGACCCGCTGCAAGGGGCAGGGCTTGCTGGTGCTCCTGCTGTTAGTTTTTTTTTTTTTTAAGATTTTATTTATTTATTTTTAGAGAGGGAAGGGAGGGAGGAAGAGAGAAAGAGAGAAAGAGAGAGAGAAACATCAATGTGCGGTTGCAGGGGACCATGGCCTGCAACCCAGGCACGTACCCTGACTGTTACTTTTTTCAGGGTCCACCGCAGACTTCAAGATGAGAGCACACTGTTCTGGGGGGTGGGGAGGCTTGGCTATGACGGAGCAAGTCATAGTAAGAGCTGACAGCAATGATTTTTTTTCTCCTGACATCTTCCAGCCAAAGACTGAGCAAGGCAGTGGTACAAAGACCCAGCTGTTTCAGCCCAACTCAGTACCCTTCTAACAAAGAGTCTTCTCTAGAGCAGAGACATGATCAGATCTGTATTGCAGATCTAGTGGGAAAGGCCCACTCCTGCTTTTCCCTCTCCCTTCCAGAGGTACACCTTTGCCACACATCCTTTGTGCTCCTGAGCCCCTCCCAGCATCAGACCAGAGCAACTGGGATCAGAGTGGTCCGAGATCACAGGCAGTGAGACCTCATTCCGAGCCTTGGGCACGCGCTGCCTGGCCAGGTATGAGGCCCCCATCCCTGGTGGGGAGACGGGGCCTAGACAGCTCCCAGCACCAGGAGGCCGTCTAGTTATTGAAACTTTAGATAGAATGGCATACTGGTGGAGGGCAGTGCACTGCCAGCTGTGATGGTAAAACAGGAACCAGACATTGAATAGAAAAAAAAGGGAGTTCAACCATTGTTCAAGTTAATGGCTTGGAGCCAGTTTCCAGGCAGCAAAGTACAGACAGGGCGGTGGGGTGCCAAACAGGGAGCGATGGTCTTACTGAGTGGAAGAGACAGAGGTCAGTGATCAGGAGGTCAAGGTGGGTAGAATTTGCTGGGCAGAATAAAGGAGAGGAGGAAGAACCATCACAGAGAGCATTCTGTAGATCTTCAGTGGGTCCCCTTGGGTCCTTGGCTGAGCACTGATCCCTGAAGGTATGAAGAGAAACCACCCAAACCAAGAAATGAACAACTGGAAAGTAGTAGAACAAGTGATTCCCAGATTATGTTTGGGACTGGGAGTAGTTTTTGTTCCCAGTGGCAAGAGTGGAAATAACTCATAGTGTGTGGGTATCAGGCAGATTCCTCTAATGGGTGTTGCCTCTAAAGTAGTGAGGCTGAACTGTCTCTAAACCAAAGGCTTCTCTGGACCTCCCCGGATAAAGCTTAAAAGTGAGCCTTGACCAAATGAATTCCGAGAAATCTGGCTGTGCACCAGAGTGGGGCCCAATACTATTTAGAGGAATACAACAAAATCCAGCAACAAACAGCCTAACCTTCACAATTCCCAACATCCAATAAAAAGTTACCAGAAAAATATGTAAAGAAACATAAAAATATGACCCATAAAGAGGAGGAAAAACCAATCACTAGACGCAGATCCAGATGTGACAGATGTGATAGCTATGAAGGAATTAGCAACTTGGACCATGAGATCTGGCAGCCCCGGTGGTACTGGAGGTGTCGGTCATGGAAAAGAGTGTAGTGTGGAGTTTTTGGCAAGACCCAATGGGAGAACCACAGTGCAGGTCCCTGGGAGCTTGATGTGAGGCTATATTAACTGTAGGAGAGAATGACATGCTTTTTGAAAAATAGCTTCAGGTATGCTACCAGGCCCCAGTAGAAATGGAGCCATGAGACACCAAGTGATGATATATCTAGAACCGTCCATCCTGGCCAGGGCCATCGAGTCATAAAGGCGGTGGGACCAGCAGCAGTCCATCCTGAGATGGAAATGACACCTGCAGGAGCAATCACAAGCAGGACCAGAGCACATAAGCAAGCTGCGTGAACAGGCAGCCCACGCCCCATGGCATCGTGGTTGCACCCACACCCCATACCCACTCCCTGAGATTGTGCAGAGGACCTATATGGTCAGCTGAAGGAAGGCAGGAAAGCTTGATGTACCAATGAGCTGGCTCACTCTGTGGGTGCAAGCTGAAACTGGACAGCATCGTCATTACCTCCTCACTCAGGATGACACGGAAAGACAGCTGCAAGCAAAAAACTTCCTTCTTTCCACAAAAAGGGGGCAGAATTTGGGGTGGTGGGATGATGATTCAGTTTGTGAGGGCGGGAAGGTAAAATATACAGGGTCCAGCAGAAGTAAGGCCTGCTTGCGTGTGGTTGGCAGGGGAATAACATGGGTGTAAAAATTTAGTTTTAATTTGAACATTTCACCTAAAATGTCATATGGTGTGCTTGAGTGTGATGTTGTTTTGTTACAGAATCACATACTTGTGAATTTGTAAGTAAAAGGGGCATTATTTGTGCCTGCCCCTGCATTTGGAATTTCAGCACTGCCAAATGGCCTGGCCGACTGGCCAGGAGTTTGGAGTGAATTGAGAAAAGACAAAGAATGGAGGATTGAGACAAGAAGGTCATGGATTAGAGGCGTGTTGATGGATACATGGGAGGAGACACAGAGCCTGAAAAACCTTGTATCACGCATCCATGTGCCCTGGAAAGAACCCACCAGAAGGAACACTAAACGACTAAGTGGACAAAGTGACTTAGCCTGTTGGTGTTAGCCTTTGTGGTCCCCACCCGGGGCTGGTACAGTGTGCACACAGATATAGTGGCAGTGGTGGTGGAGAGGGGGGTTGTGCATGGTCCCCCCCAAAACACGGACTCCCACTTGCCAAGGCTGATCTAAATACTGCTAACTCCAAATGTCTAACCTGCCAACAATACAGACTAGTGCCAAAACCCTGCTGAGGCTGTAAGAAGACCAAGCAGCCATTTGATGCCAAATTGACTATATTAGGTCCACTCTTTCCTGTAAGAGCCAGTAGTTTCTTTGCACAAGGACAGACACCTATTCTAGGTGTGCAGTTTTCTCTCCTGCTTAAGGGGCTTTGACCGGCACCACAGTCTAGAGACTTACAAAATCTCTGACCCGCTGGCGTGGGTTCACTGCATGTATGATCTACACATCATAACATCCAATCAGGAAGAGTTAGCTCATGGCCCTGGGATCCACTGGCCCGCTCACTCACTGTACCACCTAGAAGCTGCTGGCCCGACAGCATTGAAATGACTGGCTTTAGTGCCTGGTTGGAGACAATACTGTGTCAAGATGCAGCGCCCTCTAGTGGACACAGCATACCTACTAAATCAGAGCCCCCATGTTGAGCTGTGTCCACAATGGGAAGGTCACAGGGATCTGGGAAAGAAGGAGTAGAAGGAGGAGGAACTCCACTTACCATCACTCCCAATGAACCACGAAGGGATGTACGACTTTCCACCCCACTACTCTGGGCTCTGCAGAGCCAGAGGCCCTTGTTTTTAAGGTGTATACCCTCCCCAGGCAACACAGCAAAGTCCTGTTGAACTTCAGCCTACCACTGTCACTCAGGCACTTTGGTCTCCTGGTGTCCAGGGACCAGCAGGCAAGAACAGTCACCGTAACGTCAGGGGTAATCAACCCTGAACTGAGAGAGGGGTGAGCCTGCTGTTACATGATGTGAGGAGTCAGGGAGCCCCCTTGGGGCCGGCACCCTTACCTACCTGTAACTACGAATGGACAAGAGCAGCAATCCCAGTCTGAGAAGGGTTTGACCTCCAGGATTTCTGAACCCCTGGGAATGAGCTTGGTTCACACCATCAGGAAAGCCACCGAGAGCAGCGGAGGGGACAGCTGAGGGCGAAAGGTAGTTCGAGTGAGGGAGGGGGTGATGAGTACCAACTGTGGCCTGGAGACCACCGGCGAAGGGCAGAGGGTGCCACAGATGGTCCCGCCGAGCTGTTCTTTATAAACGTGATCCCAGGGACAGAGGTCCACCAGGGCCCTGGGAGAGTTCACAGAGGAAGTGAATCTACCTGGTAGAATCTACCTGGTAGAAGGGACAGGCTTTGAGATGTGCCCCTTAGGTCCCCTTTCAAGCACAGACTCGCCGTCCAGCTACAGAAAGGGTGGTCAGCTGAACAGCTGTTTAGCTCCAACTGTTGGCTTCATCAGGGCCCACCTTAGTGTTCAAGCCGAGCTCATGCTGTTCTCAAGGCAGCAAGGGTTGGCAGCCAACGGTTTCACTAAGCTGTGGAAGTTGGAGGGCACGTTTTTCTCCGGGTAACCTCTTGACACAGCCCAAGCAAGACAGCGGCGAAGGACCCGGCTGCGGCCATCCAACACAGGACTCCTCCAGGGAGTCCTCCCCCAGGGTCCCCGTCCCACCGCAGCCTGACGAGCTCAGGACCAAGCTCAGGACCGCAGTCCAATAGCTCTCCCGCCGCCTCCTTCCTCCCCTCTCCTCTCAGAGGTGCCACACTCCCACAAAGCCTTTGACCATCCTGTCTGTGTCTCCTCTTCCTGAGGAGATGAAACGGGCGTAAAAATACAGGGCCTTTTCTGGTTTAAAATAGGCTCTGACGCAGCAAGTGGCTTCTGTGGAAGGACAGAGAAGGGAATGAGGCCCAATCTTTTGAGGGAGGGGCCCAGTGGGAGGCCTTGCAGGCCTTGAGAGCCAGTTTAGAACCCCATTCCAGCGGATTCGGTGGGGGCGTGCTGGGAGCCGTGTTTCAAAGCTCACTTTGGGGGGTGAACTGAGAGTGGTTGAAGGCGCACCGTAACAAGAAGAATGCCAGTTGGGAGGCTTTATAATAGTCTGGTCAGATGACAGTTTGGACCCGATGAGAAGGGACACTGGTGAGGCGTGACTGGGTGTGTGAAATATTTTGGCGATGTCGTTGGAACGACCTGCTTATGGTTTAGATATGGGGTGAAAAAGAGGCTGCAGATGGAGCGTAGATTCTGCGCCTGAGCCACTTGTGAGTGGTCACGCCATTAGTTGGTAAGGTGGAGACTTGGGGAGAAGTTTAAATGTATTAAGGTTAAAACACCTGTAAAGGCTGGCTCTGAGGAGGCGGTTGATATACTAACCTGATGCTCACGGCAGAAGTCAGGAGAGGATACTCGCAGTTACCAGCACATATCATGTTTGTTTAATGCTGCAGGATTCGATGGACTCACCAAGGGCGAGTGTAGCTTGTCGAGAAGGCCAGAACCAAGCCAAGTCACACCACCCCCCTTCTTAAACACCTTCGGGACTCCCTGGTACTGCAAAACCAAATCCCAGTTTCAGAATGACACCCCAGGCCCTCTGCATCCCTGCTCCAGACCACCATTCCAGCCCCACACCCACTGTGTTTTACTAGAAACTTCTTTTAGTTACTTGGTTTCCTCTAATCACTTAGCCTCTGTGCCGTAGCCCATGCTATTCCCTCCTTCTGGAATGACTTTCTCAGCCAGCTGCCTGTGCTTGGTGAAACCCTCCTCACTGTAAGGTCTTAGCTCAGGTTCCCCAGGGCCACGGCCTCCCCCATCGACCTAGTCAGGGGCAGTGCCGTCTTCCCCTGAGAACCGCACCACTCGCCTGCAAAGCCTGTGGAGAATGGCTCCCCCAAGCCCCGCGCTGGGCAGCACCTCTAGGTGTTCTCCAGGGACCGGGCCCCTTTCTCCCCTGCCTTCCACACCATGGAGCGCCCATCCTTCTTGGTGTTTCCAAGGTTACAAGAGCACTGTCTCATCGTTCCAACCTCCCATCGTTCTAGGGAGAAAGGGGGACAGGAAGCCGCAGCGGAGCGGGGGCACCCACCGGAGGAAAGCAACTTTCCCGGGCAAGGTCTAGCGTTCGGTCTGGGGGCTTCGCTGGCCTGAACCTGTTCCGGGGGTCCTGCTGGCAAAGAAAACACATCGGGTGGGGTCCCAGCCCAGCAGGGTTTGCCTGGAATGTTCTTCCTTTTCCTCTTCCCTGACACCGGTAAGTTTTATTGGGTAAGTCCCTGTTCGTGTGCCTTTCCACCGGGTGTGAAGTTCCTTAGTGGTATCTCATCCACGTGTTTTGACCTAAGAACTCCCGCATCCTAACCTAGGACACAAGAAGTGTTTAATAAAGAGGTTTTTTCTTCACTGCTGACCTAAGGACTACAGACTGCTCTAGTCCTGGCTCTGTGCACACAGGCCGGCCTGTGCGGGAGGCGGTTTAGGCAGCACTGAAAGAGGCTGCATCACAGTGAGTGTGAGCCGCTTACTACAGAGAAACAGACCTCAAGAGTCAGAACCACGCTTTATTTAAAACCACCCCCCCAAAATATCCTAATATCTGCCCCAGTATATGACCCTGTTGTGCTCATTTCACGACAGAATCTCAGCAACATAAATAATTACTCACATTCCTTTAATGTACTGGAAACACCCTGGGACAGAACCCGGGAAGCCCATGCCGGGCTTCGCCCACCCTCCCCGGTGCCCACCAGGGCTGCGTGTGGTGCCGGTGGGTGGGGGGCGGGGGTAAGACGGAGATACAGAGACACCCGCCTTCCCTTCCTTCCCACTGTGACTCTCCCAACACACATGCTCATCCCCACACGAGACGCAGTGGTTTCAGCCAACACTTCAGAAACAGGAGGGCAGAAGTCAGACCCAAGTTGGGGCTGCTCCCAGTGGGCAGGCCAAACGGGCACGTTTCTCTCCCAACTTTTAGAAAAAAAAATAAAGTGGAAATCCCTTAGGCCCGGGGCTTCTGTCTAGGACTATCTGGCACTCCTAGTCTCCGGGTATAAGGAAGGGTTGCAAAGTCTACCCTCACGGCGTTTTTAAATATCGTGCGATGGTAACAGCGGCGAGCCCCACACAGGGGGATACGGCCACAGAGCGAAAGAGGCCGTGCGGGTCAGGAATGCGTCTATGCTCTCGTCTCCCCGCACTCCATCCATGCCTGGGGAAATTCCTGCATCTCTCCAAATGACGTCATTTAAACTGTGGGTCAATACATTATCTGTATTTTATTCGGAAGTCCGTAAGGGCGTTATGTCAAGTTGTTTTCCGGACGTCCTCTTAGATGGCGCCATCCTCAGCGCCTCCCTGGGGCCCCACCTCCCACAGACCTTCTGGCCCCCACCGCTGTTCCTCTACACCCGGCAACGCACTCAACAGCTCTGCGCCAGGAGACCTACCTCATTGTTCAAAAGTGCGCGTACAAACAGGAAGAAATAACGCTCAAACATTTACTTTACAATTGTTTTTATTCAAAGCAAATTGAAAAACCTAATATATTTTTTCCTTTAAAAATGTTTTTTTAAAAATAGTTTTATCATTAGTTTTGACATTGCTTATTTTACCTTTGACATATATAATTTGTACATTATGTTAAAGTTTTCTGACAGCCATGTACATTCTAGTATTTTCTAGGTAGCTATGAGATTTCATATTCAAAAGCCAACACCACTTTTCTAAAATTTAGAAGAAAAAAAAATCCTCGTTCCCAATGTAGTAGACACTTGCTCCCAAAAAGTTAAAAAAAAAGTCCTTTGCTCGTGGCCAAATGTCAGGTCTTGATTTCTGGTTGTGTGAAAAGAACTGTTTTGTTTTCTTCAGAGAACGGAAGGAGCCTTACTTCTTTAGATTTGCTTTTTGTCTTAAAGACGTGCCTGAAATGGATATCTCAAGTTTTACTGCACAAACCTCATCATGACTCGGCCTGTGCTGTCCAACTTTTAGGTGAGATTTTCACGCTGGAAAAGACGACGACAGGCAGGGACGTGACCCGAGATCCTCAGGACTGCCGTCTCGGGTCCTTCTGACGAAGACCACTCGGGTTTTACTCACCAGTAAATCAAGGACGTGGCCATTGGGAGGGGGTGGGGGAAGGGGTCACCAGAATATGACATAAAAATAAATACTTTACAGGCTTTTTCCCATGTCTAAAAGTGTTAACATTCTAACCAAAGAAGATTAGAAGGTAATTACCTAACTCAATTATATTTATAAAAAAATATAAAAACACACAAACCAAATGATGCAAAAAATCTTTTAAATCTAAAAACTCATTTCCCAGGGCTAATTCGTAGCCAAGCCCTGCCAATGTTTACCAGTTCATGAAACTAAAGAGCTTTTCAGCATTTTCGTCAAAGTCTGGTGATATCCGAGATTCTGATAACCCTTCTCGGCGAAGACACAATCCTGCAGGCGGTTCAAGGAGAAACAGCCAGAACTTTCTCTTTGGTGTCACCAAAAGGATATCCAAAAGTTAGCAAATGTTGACATTTCAAGTGATAAGAAATTGCCAAATGGAAGTTTAAACTCTGGTTAAAAAAAACACGGTTATAAAAGGAAACGCTCCGCCCACAGTTCTATAGTGCAAGTTTTCAATTTTAACTCTAAAAAATAATTTCATTTACTAAGCAGGAAACAAATCCCAGCAGTGTATCACCTTCCCCTCCGCCTTCTCCCCTCCCCCGCCCCCTCTGCGTGTGCCCACGTTCAGCTCGGTTCTCAGAGGCCCCCTCCGCTCCAGGAGGATCCACGTGAGAAATGACCCACCGTTCCAAAACCCGGGCTACAAGCTGCGCGCCTGTGGCTGCACAGCCGCAGGCTCCCGGTGACAGCGTCGCCACAGCCGCATGTCATTTTTACAAAAAAGGAGCAAAGCCTTTTTCCCGGGGAAAAAAAGTACCTGAACCGGTTAGTCACTCAGCCCTTCCCCAGCCTTCCGGGCTCACCAGAAAGCACACCGGTGCGTGTGCCCTCGTGTTCTGTGCACTCAGACCAGCCAATCTAGCACCTCTTTCTCAGAAGCAATGGTCTTCTCCTTCCTTCTGGAACACACTCATTTCCGTCAACAGACGTTTAAAGCCATCACCTCCTAGTCCAGAAGCCTCCATTACTCCACCTAGCTTAACTCTTTTTTCTTCACATATCTGTTATGTGTGTGTGTGTGTGTATTTTTTAACATAAAGAGTATTCAAAATGCGCACACACATACCTGTTCACTGCCCCCCCCCACCCCCCAGCATTTAGAAAAAAAAAATCTTCCCCAGGAAGCACTTTCAGAAGTTAAGCTTCTACTTGCTCTTAAGCCACAGGGCAAGTGCCAAGTGAGTCCTAAGCAGCCCTCACCCACCGCGGGCATGGAGGGACCCGGGCCCACAGCACACACACGGAGTGGGAGCCCGGGGCAGGCGGTGAAGGGCCCCCTCCGGCCTCCTAGAGAGACGTGTTGTGCACCCGCCCCCCCACCATCTGGGAGACCCCGTTCTTGCTCCTAACTCTCTGCCCTCAGAGCACCTCCCTCGGTTCCGACGGATCCCTGCCCTCGGTACTGGCCGTCCCATCTGCGGGGCCGGAAGCCTGTGCCCGCAGCAAGGCGGTGGGCTCCCCGCCACAGAGCAGGCTGCCCTCGTCCATTTCATCCCCCTCCAGCCCACCCAGCGAACAGCCCCTTGCAGCGCCCAGGGCGTGGCGCGCCCTGCCGTCCGCGGGCTCCAAGGCCTCCCCTTCGCCTTCAGAGATGACGGTCATCGGGCTGCTCTGGATGCGGTTCCGCATGCTGTACCTGCTGCTGGCGGCAGAGGGCGGCGTTCGACTGCGGCCGTACCTGGGGCCGGAAAAGGACAGACTCCGAGGCATCAAGCCTTCGTTCTTAGCCCATTCCTCCTGGGCCCTTCTGTTCTTGTTTGGGGAACAGCTGGACGGGCTGTCGGGAGTGTCTGGAGAAGGCTCCGACCTCGACCTCTGGAATCTGGGGTCTGTGTTCTTGAGCATCTCCGCGGCGGACATGCGGGCGCTGGCGTCTGACCGACTGCCCTTCTTCAGCAGCAGAGCTTTGAAGTTGTCGCTGCTGGTGCTGCTCTTGCGCACGCTCCTCTGGATCGATCCCACCTGCTTCGGGGAGGCCAGGCTGGGGGCGGCACTGGTGGGCGTCACCGGCGGGGAGGGAGAATGGTTTCGGGCGTGGTCGTCGTCCGAATCTTTGCGGCCGAGGACTTTCCTCTTGGATCTGAGATTTAGCAACATTAAGAGAAAGGTTAATTCCCCATGGGCCACTGGATTTCAGCCCCAGCCACCCCGCTTATCTCACCGCCCATTCGGGTCCCCGTGTATTATTCTTACCACGTGAACCTCCCAACGTTCGTGCAAAGGCAGTTCCTCTGACTGCCCCGTGCGCCCAGGGCCCATCGGTAATTATTTCCATTCTTCTTTCAGCTCCACCCTTCCTGGGTTATTTTGAAACAAATCTCAGTTGTCATACTAACTTATTTAGGGTAGGGCCATCTCTAAAGCTTTTAATAACTGCCATTTTTATCAAGTCTCCGACAGCGGACTGGTCCCGAGTGCACTGCACGGTGCTGGCCCGCCTTCCTTCCCACTTCTCCTTTTTGTTTGGTGCCGGCGCTGAACGGGCCTAACAGACAAGCCAACGGCCCCTCTGCCGAGAGAGGCCCCACCCAGGTTCTAGAACAACTGCACAAGAGCGTGACGTAAAACCAGGCTTCCTTGGCTCTTACTGGGCCGTATGTGGACTCCCAGAAGTCCCACCATGCAGGAGACAAAGGTGCGCCTCCCACACCAGGCCTCCTCCTTGACTGACCTCGGAGACCCTCCAGCTGATCACGCAAACATGAGGGACACGGGTGGAGGGTGAAAGAGGAGGGGCCTTCAGAGGAAGTGAAATGCTTGGGGGGGGGCGGGGGGCATTTCACGGTCCGGGTCTGCGAGAACCTGCCTGTTCTGTGTGGTTGCTGCTGAGTGTGAACCAGAAATAATGAGGCAGATGAGCCGAGCGGCCCCTCACTGGTCTTCTCATAACAACCACGCAGTGTGTGAGGAACCCCTTGGCGAAGTGCAGGTGGCCTTGCCCTACAAACCCAGCACATCTGAGGACATAAAGCTGTGGTGTCTCTTTTTCTGCTGTATGATTCTAGAACACGCAGCAGGGAAAGACTGGGAGGATGCTACCTGTGCACACAGTGTAAATGTGAAATCTGAGCACTCCCAACTTTGAGCTGAGCGGCCTTGGACCAGATCTCATCTCTACCTCTCCTCGGGCCCCATGCTTGTAAAATGGGGGTGGTGATACGAGTCTCCCAGGTTTGTGAGGATTCAGTCTGATCAAGAGCCCCGGGATCCACGTGGACCTGGGTTCCACCCCCCTGCTGCGGTGTCCTTGCTCTGTCAGACACAGAGCAGGTGCTGAGTAACCCCCTGAGTGCCATTTAGGAAAATATAATTTTCCCTTCTTGCCACCAGGCCAGGCTTCAGTGCAGTTTTTCTGTGCCCACCCAGCAAGGCACAGGGAAGGGTGGGCTATGATGGCTGTCCTGGGCTTGGTGCTCCCAGGGACCTCTCCCTGCTGCTAGCCAACAAGAAGCCACCAAAGCCAAAGACAGAAAGTAAGGACCCAATTCGGAAGCTGAAGGGTGGCCAGACCTGATGCAGCAGCAGCCCCTTTGGGAGTACGGAGCCTGGCCTGGGACAGTTTGGTCCAGTGGTCCTGCCCAGCTGTCAGTAAATGCCACGCTGCAGAGTAGCTAAGGAGTGACGACCAGAAACCACAGAAACAACCACCGTGCCGACTTCTGAGCCGGAAAAGACTTCAGATGGGTGGGTCTGAGCAGAGAAGGGACCCGAGTGGAGCATGAAGCCACGCAGCTGAACACAAGAACGGGGACCCGATGGAGCGTCCCCCATTCACAGCACAGGGCCTCACGGCTCGCGCAGCTGCTCATCTTACTTCTGCAGCGCTCGTCTGTGGCACAGTTTCTGTCTGGTTTTCCAATGGGAAGGCATGCTGACTGCCACTCAGCAGGCCACAGCTCCGCCCCATCGAAGCCACAGCCTTTTATTGTCGACTTAGAATTAAGAGGAGAGGTGGGAATTCATAAAACTATTATTGTTTTTTCAAGAGCAGCTGCCCCTAAAACGAGAATTAAATCTGAACATTCCAATTCTTTGTGTGCATGTATGTTTGTATGTGTGTGCACGCACACACGCACATGCACTGTGTGTGTGTTTAAAGGAGATGGCTGTAAAAAGGACTTAAACAGTTAACTCCGGCTTGAAAACTAATTACTTCAATAAATATAAAAACTTCACACCTCAACTGGTGCTCTACATTTTCCATCTGGCTTTGAATCTGAAGTGAATTAATTTGCATTATAAAATTTGAAAGCTCTGTTTCAATTTAGATATTCTTTATTTTATAGTATTAGCTTAGGTACGGAAGGGGACATGAAACAAAGCCCTAGAAATCCCAAACTCCAGGTGGATTTTCATTGCGTCTGCAATGTTATCAGTGCCAGACAGAATTAACGCCGGCACGCGCCCTGGCTCCCGCTCTGCAGCCCGGTCCTACTCAGCCTGTGCTGCCACCAGGCGCTCACCCGGTAACACAGGCTGGCCCCTTTCCGCATCTGCTGTAGATGTGATTATAATTATGCTCTAGATAGAATTCTCTAGTAGGAGAAGCCACACATTTCTCAGTGCCTTAAGAGGAATGCTAAAATAAACTACAGAAGCGATCTGGGGCACGTTTTGGGAAAAGCACATAGTAATTCGGGCCACAACACTCGGGTTTCTCACCGAGACCGAGAGTTCTGAGCACAGAGCGACCAGGCGGCGTGCCCTCCCGGGCACTGCCGCATAAGCGTGCGCGCCTGCATGCTGGGCCATCCAGCGCGCTCCGCGCTGCATGGAAGACGTCGAGACTGGGAAGAATTTCCGAACAGTTAAATACCAATTGGTTTCATTTAACTCGGAAAATATTTATTGAGTGCCTGCCTGTCTAGAATGTTTAGAGTTAGAAACAGCTGTATAAACCTGTAGAAATGCCACTGAAGTTGGTTTCAAAGGATACAGCATTTTTTGTTTCCCTATTTCGAGATATAATTTGATTAACTAGCTACCTTTTTATTCCTAATGAGATCAAGTAAAACAGGCAATATTAAAGGGGCAGTGTTTTGCACATCTTTTGGGATAGTATACCAATACTAGAGCTAAGAGGTAAGAAATACCATTCTTCACAAACACCTTAATCTGCCAGCTTGGTTTTTTCCCCCCGAGACATGTTGGTGGGTTGCGTGAGGAATTTCAGGAGGGGAGAGCGCATGCTTTTCGTGTCATGCAACAAACAGTTTTTGTTATATTCCAAGAACTGGGAAAACAGTCACGACACAAGGTTATTTACACAATCAAATGATTTTTACAGGGTTTTTTGCTTCAGAAGGGGAGAAGGGGGACTTTGGTTCAGGGCAACAGAAGACTTTGGGAGCATTAGGGCATCTGTCAGAGTTATCTGCAAATACTGTGGTAGAGACGTCTAGAAGGAAGTGAAGGTTTGTAGAGAAAGCACTTGCACACACACTGTCTGATCAGCTCTCACCATGTCACTGCTGTGAGGGTGCAGGGTTATCCACAGAAGAAATGAGGCAAAAATGAAGCTTCAGTGTTAAATCCTATTCCCTTAAGGTGACCACAAGTAAAAAGTGCATCAGTTCACTGGCAGTTACTCTGAAAATTTTATTCTGTTGTTGTACATCAATAACCTCTGCTGCCACTAGATGGCACTAGCAGCATACAGTAACAAGCGGATTTAACTCCTTTCGCTCCTGCTTAAAAAAGATTTATTGAAACACTGAAGTAGCCCAAAAAATTGCACCATAAAATCCTGGGTTTTCTGTAAAATAATAATACACCTTTAGGAAAGGTCCTTTCCTGTAGAGCTAGTCTGCAGCCACAGATCACAGCATCCTCGCCCTGGACGGGGGCTGCTCTGACCCTACTCCTAAAACACCCTGTGACAGGATGGACACTCGGCACTTCTCGCCAGCAGGAACGGTGCCGACCAGGAGGCATCTGAGCCTCTGCTCCCCACGTCATCATAAAAATCAGGGGAACAAAGCAAAACAGATACTGGGAATCAGAGGAAGTAAAAATATAGGAATACTCTAAAACAGATCGATAATCAAGTTCATGAAACCTAACTGGGTGGCCAAAGAAACCTCAAGAAAGAAAAGAAAATTTGAGGAAGCACTTGGAAAGGGGGACGCCTACAGCAGGTGAAAACAGGAGGAGTTTTAGATACCTGTGAATAGCTGCGAAGAGGTCTTCCGTGGTCCGGGGTCTGCTGGGGGTCATCGCCTCATCACTCCCTTCTTCCTTAAGGAAGTCCTCTGAGGAAGAGAGGGCTGAGTCCGTCTCCGGAGCCCCGGCTATGGAGAAGCAAGCAAGCAAACACACGATTTCACAAGCGACTTGAATTTCAGCCTTTAGCCAAGCTCCCAGGTCTTCGCTGTCATTCCTGACAACGTGACACCCACAGGGACAGGCAGTCGGGTCTGCAGTTCGATATTTCACAAAGATGGGGGAGCATGATAGCCAAAGCTCATTCTTTCCGTTCAGGTCTGGAACTCTAAGGAAGCTCTTAAATTGTGTTCTAACATTTCCCTGCCGCTCTCCAGAAGGGAGATTATTCATTGCTATTTAATACCCAGCTTGCTGCAGACCCCGCCCCCACCCCTCTATTTTCTGCCCTTCTGTAAGCTCTACCCTTAGATCTAGATTTTTAAACAATTTTTCATGAAATGCCAAGTTGGTAGCCTAGATGTGAGGCAGCGCAGGAAACCCACAGACAGCTGGCTTTCCCGTGAATGCGCACCAGCCCTGTTTGCCTCAGCCATGTGGATGGGGTTGGAGGGGAACGAGAGAGCAAGCCAGACTCACGCCCTGGGTCCTGCAGAGTCCGACAGCTCTCCACGCTGTCCCCGCTGGGCTCGGTGCCTGGCTCCTCCTGCTCAGGGACTGGCGAGGCATCGGGCTGCACCACGGGGACACTGGCGTCCACTCTGCCTGGGGATGTGGATTCTGCAGCTCCTCCCTCAAGAACCGAGCTGCTGGAGCCGGTCTCATCAGAACCGGCCTCGGATGCACAACTCTCTCTGGCCTCTCCCTTCGTGGGGCTGGGCGCTGCTTCGCTCACGTTCTGTGCTGGCTCCGCTGTGAAATCTTTCTGCGGAGGTGGCACCACCAGGAACAGTTTGGGCTTCTTGGAAATGGGGGGCGGCTTCCTGCTGGGCGAAGGTCCAGGGGCCGTCTGCTGTGGGGTGGGCCTGGGTCCAGCCTCTGCCGCCCCAGGGCCGCCCGGGCTGCAGCCATGCTCGGCCGCTCTGTCCTGGTGACCCTGGCTCATGATCTTGGCGGGAGTCGGCAGCGAGCTTGTTACGGAGGCAGACTGGCTTTCACTCTCCATTTCATTTATGCTATTTCGGGATTTCAGGAGAGCAGATGGCTTTAAATGATACTGGGGCACAACTGGAGTTCGTTTTTCCTGAGACGCTTGTTCATGAAACAGTGCTCCCTCGGTTCCCGAGTTCTTCTTCACCGGCCTCAACTGTACCATCTGCAATGCTTCCGTGGTGATGAGGGGCCCGGGGGGTCTGCCGCCCTCCTGCTTGGTCCCAGGCTGTCTAAAGGCCTCCTGGGAGGAGTCTGGCTGGCTAGACTTTTTGAAAGAAGGCCTAGCATCTTTCATCAGGCTAGGGTCCAGGGGTGGGGCAGGCGGGGGAACCAAGGAGGGTAAAGACTGTGGGGGGGACAGCACAGGGGCATGGCCCAGAGTGGGGCTACAGGCTGGGGAGGGAGGAGAAAAGCACATGTCAGCAGAAGGACAGAAGGGAATAAGAACTTCTGGTGGTGGAGGGGGGAAAAGAGGAGACTGAGGCAGAGGAGAGCCCTCGGGGGAATCTGCTGAAGGCGGGGGAGGAGGGAGAGGAGGAGACCTGTCGGCAGGACAAGGAGACGGAAGAGGCGGGAGAGGAGGAACGGCAGGGAGAGAGGCCGGCACCGCGTCCAGCTTCTTCACGGTTCCACTCCCTTCTGTGGACGTGTTAGAAGAAAGGGACGTGGACGATGAGGAGATGGATACGGAAGACACCAGAGAGGACTTCCTTTCCGGCACCTTGGGCTTGGTCTTTCCCTTCCCGTTGGCTGGTGACATTGATTTCAAAAACACAGGCACAGGGGTGAGTGTCGTGGGCGTATTCGACTGGCTGGAATACCCACTGGACGGAGAAGTGACTCGATGCGACTTCTCCGGTGACGTGATCTTTGGTTTGACTGAGCCACCAGGCCCCGGGGGCACGGCGGCCCTGGAGCCCTCTGGGACGTGGCGGGCTGGCCCATTGCCAGTTGGCGCCCCACTGCAGGCTGGCCAGCCCCCGCCGGGGTTCCCAGGGTCTTCTTGCAGGCCTGTGCAGTCAATGTAGTAACCCCAAGGGTCCGTGTACTCGGACTTAACACTGCTCGTGTCGCTCGGTGACGGGGTGACCCCGCACAGGGAGGAGACGTTGGGCGTGGTGGCGGAAGTCATGCTGCTGCCCGCACTCACCGTGCTCTGGCTGCGGGAGCGGGGCAGCCAGGGCTCCTCCAGGTCACTGCAGGGGCTCTGGGAGGGTGACAGGCCGCCCTTGCCCGGGAGGTTCAGCTGCAGCGAGTAGTGCAGTGAGGCAATCAGGCTCTCGTTGAGCACCTGCCCGTTGGTCTGGGCACTCTTCTTGGGGATCCTGCGCAGGGAGTCCGTCCGAGAGGGTGGCAGAGGAGGCTTCTTTGCTTTCTTCAAAGAGATGTTTCGAGAAAGAGATCTGTCATGGCAATTTGACCGGTCCCCTTGGTTCTTCTGAGTTCTTCCTTCAAACACATTGACCACGCTGTGCCTGGGGTTCCCAAAGCCATTGCTGCTGCCGCCCAGACTCCCAGCCCCGGGTGCAGCGTCGCTGTGCACAGACGTGTAGTAGCCATCGTGGTCCTCTGAGTACAGGGACCTGGCGTCGTCTCTGTTGGACGTCTGGTCCAAACTGCAGCTGCTCATGTTGCTCACAGGAGTGCAGTCACCAGGAGTGGCCAGGTGAGGCTTCAGTGGGGAGGCCCGCCCGCTCCCTGAGGCGCTGTATTCCCAGGGCTCCACGCCATGCCCCCGGCCTCCTGAATAACTGGACTCACTCTTGCCATCCACATCCTGCGGGGCCGCTGGGAAGCTCAGGCTCTTTCTACAGTTATAGGCCATGGCTTGGGGCCCATTGTCCTGATGCGCTGGGGCATTCAGAGAGACTGCCGCATCACAGAGGGACAACAGTGTGGCTCTCCTGGGGGAACGGGGGCCCAGGGCCTGTGAAACAACGGTGGAGTGACCTTCATTCCAGTTGCCACTGGGAGACCACCGGTCATCTGTACCAGAGTGCCTGGGGAGGAGTCGGTCCCTAGATTTTATCTTCATGTATGTCGGGGAGCTGGTCATTTTACTGTCCAGCTGCCCTGAACTCTGAGCGGTGTGGATGACAATCACTTCCGACGAGGAGGAGAGGGTGGCATTGGGGATGATGCTGGTGGAGCAGGTCCCATGAGGGGACACCACACATGCCGGGCCTGTCCTGTTTTCACTCTCCAAGTGTCTCAGCTCCTGGGACTTGGGCCTCAAGAGGGTTCCGGTCCTACAGGCACCTGCTAACCGTCCTATGTTTTCATCTGCTTGGAGGTTAGCCCTCTGGTAGGGGAACACGCCGTCCAGGTCTCCCGCGAACTGGGGCTCCAGAGACTGCACGCTGGCCCTGGCGCCGGAACGCGGGAGGCTGTGGAAGCCAGCGTCGCTGCTGAGGCGGGAGGGGAACACGATGCCCGCAGAATCGCTCAGCACGGACATGTTCCCTGAGGAGCCCGAGAGGTGGCTCATCTGGGCAGCAATGCCTTGACCCTTCTGCGCCCTGATTCTTCTCATCGAAGGGGGCACAACCTTGACTTCCTCGGTCTGACAGCTGCAGTCCCTGGTTTCAGAGCGCTGCCCGGCAGACCGATGGCTGTCGAGCCTTCCTAGTGTCGAGTAGTGGTCTGGAGCGTACACCGAGTGACCACCACCATCATCGTGGCCAGTGCCCGCGGCTGAAGATGAAGCAGAAAGAGGCTTGTTACCTGAAGATCAGTACCTTAGTCGATCACCTGTGCCCTCACCTCCTCCTGGCTCTGCCGGGCTTCAAAACAAACAAAACAAAACAAAACAAACAACACTTCTCTATTTGAAATAGTTTTTTTTTCTCCTGTAGGCACATAAGTAAGAGTTTAAATAGCCAGCAATAGCTCCCAAAGTAAAAACCCTTACTATGAGTTTCATGTACTTCTCTTAATTGGTCTTCAAATCCTCCTATAGACTAAGTGCTGCATATGGAATTCTCAAGTACTCCCTCCGAGATCAAGGCTGAGTGCTCTGTGGAAGGTGTACTTTCAGGTCACCTCCTTTCAGTGAAGATTTCGAGGCGGCCTGTCACCTACCAACCAGGTGCCTGCAGAGAGAATCTGTCAAGCAGGGACTGCCTTCCCTGAAGACAGATGAATGTGGTAGTTCAATAACAGGGCCGCAAAGGCAGCATTTATGAAGGGTATTGGTACGACATAGTGCTCATTACATTAATTTCTATGTCAGAAGGAAATCCTAAGAAAAGTGATTTACAGGCCCATCTGTGTCTCAAACATTTCATTATCCATCTCAAGCCATCGTCATCTGTCTGTCAGTGACATTCAAAATTCAACGGCAATCTGTTGTGTTCTGGTAGGGAAAAGCAGCAGGGACTGATCCAGTGAACGTTTTCTCAAATTAGGGCTATTCATTTCTTAGAGCCTTACAGCTAAACCGAGAATACTATGTTTAAAAAAGAATAAAGCACGAGGAAAGCCAAACAGCAAAGTTGGTAAGAAAACACCTTAGGTGTTGACAGCAGATTTCAAGCTCACCTAAGAAAGAAGAGAAGCTTTAAACAAAATCACGAGGTCAAGAACCTACTCACAATGTACAGAGAAAAAAATCAGTTCATGCATAGCCATCGTCAGGACAAATTAAGTCTTGAAAACTAGTAGCGAAGCCACAGCATGGGCTTGGCCGGGCGACCCACCAGCGTCACTGGGCACCTGCCCAGGCCCCCGGTGACACTGGTGGGGAGTGGATTCTGGAGAACTCCCTCCATACCCCACACAATCCCCGGCTGGATCTAAAGCCTCGTGCTCATCCACATAGCGAACATGTTCTTGATATAAACCGCAAGGAGACGTCACCCTGGGGTGGGGGAGAGGCCCAGTGAGCCCTTTCCTTCACTGTACTTGTATTCCTATCCAATGGAACCTATTTCCTCCCCCTTCCCCTCAGCCAAGGAGCCACTCACTAAAGACACCCCCTACACACACATACACACGAAGTTCTCCCTCAGAGAGAGGGGCAGCAGGCAAAAGGACAAGAGTAGAAGAAAAATCCACTCTGAGGAAAGAAAAGACAAAAGGTACTCATTTTGCCATTTGGTAGTTTAGAAGGTGGGAGGCTGACTTTGTGGCTGTATCAGTTTGTACCAGTTTGATTCCAAACATTCAAGATGCATCATTCCACTCGACACTGGGTTTTTATCTTTTTCTTTCAGAACTGTGGTAGTTTTTGCACGGAGTCCATGGTAGATTTTTAACTGTCTCTGAGGGCTGAAAACAATGTCCTGATTCTCTCAGGTAACAATTTTGAATGTGAAACCATTCCGGGCTTCTGAAAATGGGAATATAGCCATTTTTCCACCATCTATGGACCAGCACAAATTTCTTACTAAAATAACAGTATTTTTCTAAAGATTTTTTTAAAAATTGGTAATGTTCTAATTTTTAAGATTTTTATTTATTTATTTTTAGAGGGGGAAAGGAGGGAGAAAGAGAGGGAGAAACATTAATGTGTTGTTGCCTCCTGCACGCCCCCTACTGGGGACCTGGCCCACAACTCAGGCATGTGCCCTGACTGGGAATTGAAACAGGGACCCTTTGGTTCACAAGCTGGTGCTCAATCCACTGAGCCCCACCAGTCAGGGCTAAAGACCTTTAAAAATGGGAAAACATATGTTTCACACAGGGACCACCAAAATTCAAACAGATCTTCCAATATTTTCATAGTACAAAAAGTGTCACAATATTACAGATACAGATGCTATATTGATTAGAATTGAAGAACAAAAACAGACTACAAAAAGAGAAGTATAAACAAATATAAACCACTCAGATGCTGCTAAAACTTTTGATGGGATTTATCTGACTTTAAAATCTAATGTAAAGAAATAATTATACATATATTTCTTTTACAAGAGATTTTCAGTTCTTAAAGAACACATAGTCAAAGAGAGAAATCGAGCCCTGGCCGAGTGGCTCAGTTGTTTGGAGAATCATCCCATAACCAAAGGTTGCAGGTTCAATCCCTGGTCAGGGCACATACATACCATGGATTATTCAGACCATAAGACACACCTAGGTTTTAGAGGAGGAAAATAGGAAAAAAAAATTTGAACCAAAAAATGTGGTAAATATTTCATAACATAAATAACGTAATATTTCACCAATATAAATGTAAACAGAACTCAACAGCAGCATGAACAACCATTATTCCCCCCAAATTGGCAGGGGAAATGCATCTTATAGTCCAAAAATACGGTAGGTTGTGGGTTTGATCCTCAGTCAGGGCACTTATAGGAGGCACTCAACCAATGTTTTCTCTCTCTGTCTCTCAACTTAATATATCCTTAGGTAAGGATTTTTTTTAAATACCTCCCCCCCAAAAACGAGAAATCTACAAGTTAATTTATTTAAGGTTTATATAGGATTTTCTGAAAGTCTTAACAACACCTGTAACTAATATTGTATGTCAATTATAATTGAAAAATAAATTTTAAAAAGTACTTCAGGTCTTTGTACAAACTATCAAAATTATTCAGAAGGGGATTCCTTTAAATGAGGCTTTTCTGCTTGGGAAACATACTGAGATAAGTTCCAGATGCAGCCAAATATAATTATATACCAACAAAATAACCCTATCTAAGTCTGAAAAAATGAAACCTCACAAAAGGGCAACAGGGTGTTCAAAGAGGTTTCTCTGTATGTTAAAAATAATAGGATTAAAAATCAAAATTTTATCTGACTCATTTCAATGGAAGGAAACAAGTTATCAGTCATCAAATATACTTTGGAAGTAAACAGAAAATAGCATAACCTTGATTTTAAAGTGTTTGTTAGCTAGTCTCTAGAGTCTACTACTTAGGGGTTTTGAAGTAAAAGCTGCATATAATTAAGCATAATATAACACTAATTCTGGAAACACATCTGGTTAGATTTCTAAAAACCCAAGCCCTGGCAACTTGGACAGTGTTTAGTGGGCAGGGCGCATCCAGAGAATGTTTTTTCCTTTAGATAATCATTTCCTTTTTAAAATCTAGTTTATTTGACTCAGCCATAAAACCCTATGCTTTATATCTAGAGAAGACTTCTTTTTGCAGGTAATATGACACATTTCTATTTCTGGCACTCAACTGTTAGGTAGCACAAAGTTTCCAAACTAGATAACTTACGAGCACAAAATATCAGGAGAAAAGTCAACCTGAAGTCCTAAAATGAATGAAAGAAAATGATGATCAAATTTATTCCCCTAAACTTTTCAGTATTTTAATGTTATTTTCCCTTATTCTATCCACCAATCCTTCCAACGAGTCTGTCCATAAAACGAGAGTGCTGTCTAATGGCCCTTTTTTCCGCAGCCAAGCTGGAGCTCTGACACAGCTGTCTCAGCTGACCTCCAGCCTCGATCCAGGCCCTGTCACTGCACAGTGACGTCGACTGCCTCACATCTGGCAAGGATCACAACGCAGATGCTATGGGAAAAGCTCTTTTCTTTCCTCAAGCTTCAGTAGTGGTTCCATGTCACGTGCCAAAGAGAAATAAGCATGAGCTCCAGGGGCCCAAACACTCATTTAAAAATGTTAAAATTACAGGAGATACGATTTACCAGGCTGGCCAGATCATTCAGTAAGGTCAAGGAGGCAGCTGAGTGACTGGCTCCATACTGCTTGGCTCGGTGACAAGTGATAAAAACTCAGAATTCGGAGGTTCTAGAGCTCCTGCTATGCACATATATAGATAATTGGTGTTGAATACTTATGTGTATCTTTATCTGGGCCAAACAATTCTTACACTGTTTGCATAAAGCCATCCAAAACCTACCTCTTTTGGTCAGAAAGCCACTTAAAAAGTGCAGCTTACCCTGAAACATCAACCTTGCTGTCTTACAAAGGGCCGGTCTTTAAAGTCACTCTTTTTGATTAAGGCCATCTCTTAAAAGATCAGTTCAAAGACAAATGTCACCTGAGTGCCGGAGCAGACTAGCCCATTAAGCATCCATTGAATGTACATGTAACACATTAGTTTCTCAATTTAGTCAGCTGTTGCCCAAAGGAGGGGGAATGAAAAAGGTCTGAAAGGATGGGATGCAGGAGGACCGGCCCACTACAAAAAGCAACATGTGGGGGCATGAACGAAGGACAGGCTTCACAAAGCCTGTGGGTGGAATCTGGCCTGTGTCTGTAGTAAGGCCTTCTGTTAGGGGATAAGACGAGCACCTGCATGCCATCTGGGTCGCTGGAGCTACCTAGAGCAGAAGCAGAGCATTGCTCTTCTCGTCTCACGTTGATACAGTTGGGAAGGCAGAGCATACGAACTGTAGAACTGAATAGCAGTTAGAGAGGAAATGCAAGGCAAAGAAGAGTGAGCAGAGGTGTTGGAAAAACACACATAGGAACAGTGTCTATAGCACCTGGAAGCTGAAATGCGACCACAAAGTACCATAACAGGTATATCACTATTGCTAGGATAAACTCATTTTAACTAAAAGACTAATAGGCAAGTTCAGAAGTAAGGATTCTCAGTTTCTAGAGCACAACCTTTAATAGTAAATAAAAGTGTAAACATTAGGTGAAAGTAACTACTGTGAAAGAAGTCCATAGGTTAGCTGAAGAGAAAGACAAATCCCAAGAAAGGGAGTATTAAGTTCCCTCCAATAATTACAATAGCAGCGTTATGTTCATAGTAGTCGCAGGCACCAAGTGCTTCACCTGTATTAGTTCATTAAATGCTAAACCACCCTCCCATAAATGAGGAAGTAGACTCAGGTAAAGTAACCAGCTGGAGGTCCCCAGAGAGTTAGTGGCAGAGCTAAGATGTGAATCCAAGCAGCCTGGCCCCAGGGTCCCGGCTCCTGACCCAGTTTGCTGTGCTGCCTCTGCAGACACTCCTGATGGACCCATTAAAACCCAGAGAAAAGGAGGGAAGGCATTAAGAAGAGAATGAAGAGATTATTCACAGTTTATATGAAGATAAGCAGAAACAAATGGGTAAGTGAATAATGAAGCAAACAACCCTTTCTTCCCCTAGCCAAAAAATTTTTTTTTTGTTTCCTGTTTTTATCACAGGTTGAAAACTACTGACTCAAAAAGCTATGAAGTTGTTTCACTGGAAGTGCATAAATGCACTATCCAACATAAAGACTATTTTCTATCATGCTGGTATTTACTAGTTACACCACACTCTTTGATGGCAAAGGCCATCAATACTGTCAGCATAACTAATGAAGTCCATAAACCATAACTTGAAGCTCTAGAATAAGTTTTACAAAAACTTAAAATCTAACTGAAAAGTCAATTTAATTGTGGAAATTCCCCACTGTTCAAAGTACATAGAAATAATGACCTAACTGTGAATTTCTATCATCCCACTTAGTAGTTTTCACAGAAACTTCTCCTCTTATCTTCTCACCAAAATTCAATACATCATCTGCTTGGAGTGTTAAGATTTGTGCACAGTGCCTCCTTCAGAAAGGAAGCTGGGCCTTTGGGGCACCAAATGGCTATCAGAATGTATCGATTCCATAAGCACCACAGATGAGGTTAGCATAGGAATGCTGAACAGCAACGAGGGGCAACAGAATACAGTTCTGATGAGCCATACCTAGCTCCTTCTGTATGTTGTCAGGGACTCCTGTAATAGTCTTTCTCCTTTTGACTTTCTTCGGTCGTCTTACCAGAGTGTCTGTGTAAATTAGAGACCGCCGAAGGCTGGCCTGGCGATCGAAATTCTCCCCTAATGTAGAGCAGTAGAACAAGCAAAGCAATGTTATTTTCAAGCAAGCTGACACCATGCACTTTCTTCCAGAAGCTTGTCATAAAATGATAAGAAGGTATTAATAATGATGTTAGCCAGTCATATGATGATGAATGAATGTTTAAGGGCAAAAAAGGAAGGAAAGCACATTATCATCATAAGGCTCTTTTCCAATTTCTATGTGTGTGTCCTTCCAAAGGAAGCACCTGGATCTCATTTTCAAATGAGCTGGAGTGGAAAATGCAAATTTGTTCATAGCACACCAGAAGAGTGATTCTGTATTATTTTAAAAATGGGTCATTTGGAAGCATTTCACGTAGGTCCTCTGGTCACTAAAATCACTCTTGACGTCAGTGTGTGTGTGAGGGGAGCGATAAATGTCTCTCGGTCATTTAGTCAGCTCCAGAGGCCACTGCAGTGTCTTGCTCTATGGGATGGAACAAGTGACCAAGAAGTTTTAGATGAAGAGCTTTTTTCTTCCAATCAAGGAGACCAACAATTTGTACGGACAGTGGAAAGTGCCACGGTGTGAGACTAAAGAGCCTTATAATGATAAAGTACTTTCATCACGACGAGACCCAGGAGCACTGCTGCTGTTAAAGCTGGACGGCTTCTTCATTTCATGACCACTGGTAAAAGTCGGTCCGGGTGCAGACCTTTGCAGGTCAGATCCAGGGGACATTTTTTCATTCTAGCGTGTGAGCTTGTGTGACTGACACACAATGGGAAAACACTGAAAAATAAAATATCCGCTTTTGATTGGTCTGCTTTAAATTACATGCCAGTTTCATTAAAGAGAGTTTTATAGCACTGACCTTGTCAAATGGTTATCTCTTCAAAGAGAAGTTAAAAATACATATATACACACAAATTATATACTTCCATAATTCTTATGTTGTAAGAAAAGTAAAAAAAATTCATTTAGCAATATTGCACACTTTCAAAGTGAGTATTTTGTGAACAATGTACTTTCTATTTCAATGACAATTAGTTGTAAATAGAACCTTACCTAATCAAAACAGAGGATAAAAAATCTGGATGATCAAACTACACTTCACAAACTTAAATAAATGCTCACAACTTGAAAATGCTTGAAACCTTGTTCCCATGGAGGAGAACAGAAATAATAGAGAGGAGACCCTGAACCCCCAGTGGCACCCTCCCGGTAACAAAGGGGCCACCACGTGCAATCACAGCATCTGTGCACGGTGTCTGTAGGTAGCAGGCCCCGACTCCGGCGGTCCATGAGTTCCCTGAAGCAGAGGGAAAAAGCTTCCTCGTATCAAGGCACTGAGAGTAAACAAAACATTAACAGATAGTTGCTTTTAATCTCCAGTTTTGTTTCCTAAACAAAAACAAGAGAAACCCTTCAAGCTCCAAGGAAATTAAGAAGCAAATCATGAGGAAGGACATCACCATTAAAGGGGCCAAACTTTCCTTTTTTTGCACTGTGACCTGAAAGGTCTGTGTCCCCTGGACTTAGCACCCCTGTGACATCCAGCTCGATGCCTGCCACCAAGCGGCTATTCAGTAAGTATCTGTGGAATCGAGAGGAATTGAATCATTCTCTTTCACTGAAAAATGGCGTTAGTCAGTCACGGTTACTACTTAGAAGTAAGTGTAGCTGGCTCAAACACCAATACAGAGTCGGTTTGTAAAACTTGTTTAAGTGTGTTTACCCATGCTCGTCTTCCAGGGGGAAGACTTGTTATCCTACACTGCAGATTGTGGAACATACTCACATACATGTTTTATTTTAAACATTTTTTTCTCTTCAACATTTTGAACATGTTGAGTCCCCACAGAACTATGACTAAAGGGATTAAATCGATTTTCAAACTTGCAGCTCACAGTGCTAATGTTCTATTTCTATGCCAGGTGGGCTGCACTTTGGATGAGAAATGATGTATTTGTCGGCACTTTTCTCTCAGCTGCAACTTACTGAAAATCAAACTAGAGGGTCAGTGTTTACCCAATAAATGAGCACATGACCATTCCCTATAGGCTGCCTCATTTCTATCTCAGAAGTCTTCTAGGTTTTAGGAAATGTCATTTCAATAGCAGGAAGCTGTCTAACCCACGTCAGTTCGGCCACTAAAAGTGAAAAATTATCACTTAATGCTTTTTTATACCGGAATATTAGAAAAACTACTTCTTTTATGAAATATATGTGTGTATGTGAACACACCTGTCCAGAAAACAGATCAATAAATATGTAATTAGGTAGTATATTTAATTTCTACATTTCTAAAAATATTAACTCAATTAAACATCAATTGCATTTGAATACAACTCATATTGCTCATTTCTTTATCGTCATTCACCTTTCCTGAGTGGCATTTTGAAGGTCTCCTTTTAAACTTTGTGTAATTCATGTTCACTTACTCATCAAACAGTGAAGCTCAAAAAAAGGACACTATGTTTTTGAGAATGTACTTTGTTGCAAGTAACTCATTACTCCTAAAATTCTAGTTACTCTGTTTTCAATTTACTAATCTTGTGATAATGCATTTTATCCTAATTACATTAAGGATTATCATGTTCCATATCACAATCTTTTTATAGTATTATTCCTGAGGCATTTAATCATATATAATTACATTTCTGCTGCATTTGAGCCATCAAATAATGTAATACATTCTTATAGAAAATATGCACCTATGTATTTCATTTAGCAATAAACATTATACTTTGTTTTTGAAACACAGCTACTTATAAAAATTATCTTTAAAAAATCATGATCTAGGTGAACAAGAATCACATTTGAGAGATCAATGATGTTACCTGCAAAGTAAGTGGAATAAAATGGCATAACTGTCCTCTCTTAAGGCGTGAGTACAATAAATGTGGAAAAATGCACATGGAATTTAAAATAATCCATGTACTTATTTATTAAACTTCTCTGGAACTCAAAATAGAGTTCTTAGTGTAGTTTTTAAATGTCCTATAAAGTTTTCAAAAATTCTCCAAAAACTATCAAAATATCATCAACCCCTTAAAAGTTAACCAATGCCACAGCAAAAAGCTTTCTAGCGGCAGTCACCAGCAGCAGCCTCAGAAGCATGGCAAGTGGGCTGTGGGCTCTCTCTCTTTTTTAAAGACAGGTAGTTTTTATTTATTTATTTTGCAGAGTTCGCTGTTTTATTTATCTTTTTAACTTTAATCTTTATCATCTGTTTCTTCCATGAACACTCGTCCTTACTGGTCACCTGGTTTCTCTTAGGTTACCCCACAGGCCAGCTTCGTATGGACTGATTATCAACGGGGACAACCAGTAATCTGTTTCTTTCACGCACATGGTCTAGTGGCGGAAGCTAGTCACTTCTAACATGTCTACTTTGCACTGTGTACATGTCCCAAAGCACTGACCTGTCCTGTTTGCAGGCTACCACAGTGACAAACCTGGAACATTCTGATATTTTTTAACAACCCATCTAAGTTTGTGAAATTCTGCCTTTGAGCCTCATGTACCTTGTTATTTGTCACCTTTAATTAGCACAGGTGATTATAACTTGAGTATGACATTCTGACAGAACTGGGATTTTACATCTGGCTTCTAAAGTTCATATTTTAAAATTTTATATTAAGAAGAAATGAACTTTTATTTGAATATTGTAGAATTCAAATTATAGAGATCAAAATATAACTTTACCATCCTACTGAGTTTTCTTAAAAATAAATTTTACAGTTATTATTGTTAATTCATTTGATATTCTTATTTCAAGTAATTTTTCCTTTTTTTCACCTGAGAAAACAAGAAGATAAAATCTGTCATTAAGAAATACCACAAAATTGTTATTTCTTTACTTATATAAATATTACTTAAAATAGCCCTTTAGAAAATCTATTAAGAGATATCACAAAATTGTTTCTTACTTAAAACAGTCCTTTAGAACATAAGCATAATTTTTTTCTTTACCAAGATCACATTAAAAAGATGTCCCCATATAATCAAAATATTTTCAAAAAGCAAATTGACTCAGAAAGACACACTTTAGCCCTGGCTGGTGTGGTTCAGTCAATTGAGTGCTGACCTGTGAAGCTAAGGGTCACAGGTTCAATTCCCAGTCAGGGCACATGTTTGGTTGCTGGCCAGGTCCCCAGTGGGGGTGTGTAAGAAGCAACCAAACAGTGATGTTTTTCTCCCTCTCTTTCTCCCTCCTTTCCCCGTTCTCTAACAATAAATAAATAAATCTTAAAAATAAATGTAAAAAGACACAATTTAAATGAATGGCTGACCAGACCACTGAGTTCTTTGACATCAACCTTTGGGGACATAGTCTTTTAATTTAAAAGCAAGAGCTATTTTACATGTACACACGCACATATGTTTGAGCATTCCCTTCATTAAACAAAGACCAGGCCGCCAGACCACAGCCATTACCTGCACTGTGTAAATGAAACTCGAAGAGCATACAACCACCACCACAACAAGAAGCCACCGTCATTCTCCCTGAGGACATTCTGAACCTTGTCTGCAAAGCATACCGGTTATGTTAATAGGAACCACATCAGCCTGGACTGTTTGGGCATGCTGTCGCATCTTCTCCTCGGGCGTTGGCAAGGGAAGTGACTTGGCCCAGTTCGTTTGAGTATTAAGATCAGGAAAGTCGCTTGAGGTTGGCGGTTTAGATCTCCTGATGGAAATAAGTCTTTCTTCTTCCGACGAAGAGATAGAACACTGCAGGGGAAATAAGGAAGAAGAAACCATAGTGTGTAAAGAGCTGACAGAAACATTTAAAAATATAATCTTTTTAAAAAAAATTTAAACTAATTTAAAGCAAGCTCCCCCCACAAAACAAAACAAAACACAAAACTAGTCACATTAGGAACAGAAGCAATGGTTTGCACAAACACTGCCCCTCATCCTGAGCATGACCCATAATATCTACGACTCACAGAGGTCTGAGTCGCTAAGCCATGGCTGCAAAGGTTTTGCTGACCCACAGAATCTTAAGTTCTTCCTGTTAACTGTGGTCAGAAAGCTTGTGGATTCAGTTTAACATCAGAAGCCCAGAGAAACATCACGGCTGTGACCATCAGTTTCCATTTTTATTAAAATTTAGTTTGGCTCAAAATAATTTCTAGCTTCAATCTCATTTCCTTTAGGCTCTGACGTCAAGGAACATTTCAAAAATGACAGAGCTATTGTTGTTCAACTATGTGCGCTCTTCTGAAGCCATTTATATGGAAAAAAAATCAGTGTGAAATTATTAAATTATAAGCAGCTGACTAAAGCTCTGCTTTGAGCCTTATCAGAATTCCATGAAAACACTTCTAGCAGTGTCTGTTTTGATACAGATTAACATCCTGACTGGGGACCTTCTTTAATACCTTTCCTCCCATAACATCTTTAAAAATGTAAGCAAGAAAGTTGTTTTGGAAAGCATCTTTTTTTTTAAACCCTCAATTTGAGGACACGCTTATTGATTTTAAAGGGACAGACGGGAGAAAGAAAGGGGGAGAGAGAGGACAAGTTGCCTCCTGTATATGACCCCAATGAGGGGACCGGACCTGCAACCTAGGCCATGTGCCCTGACTGGGAATTGAACCTGTGACCTTTTGGTTCACAGGATGATGCTCCAATCAACTGAGCTACACCGGCCAGGGCATGTTTTGGCAATCATCTTATGATGGCTCCACGGCAACTGATTTTGTGACAAGGAAGCCCCAAGAACTCAAAAGAAATGCACTGTGCTCAGGAACAACAATGAAAAGAGCTAATTGACTTTTGTTGGGAAATGGCAGTGTACAACTAGAATAAACGTGTAAGAACTGTTACTCAAGTCTAAGGCATTTAAATGACCTACCACCTATGAAACTAGGCATTTAAAAGAGTTTTACTTAAGAATAAAATATCAAATGAACCTTCCCAAGGGAATCCCTGTATAAGAGGACCCAGGTCAATTCAACACTCCCCCACGCCCCCCAAAAAGGGAACTGCGGCCCTGACTTCTAACATCACAGCTTCGCTGGCCTGTACTGGAACTCTCTGTAAGAGGAACCATACTGCAGGTCTCTATTGTGACTTTTTTTCATTGAACATTACATTTGTGAGGGTTTTACTTTTTTCATTGAACATTACATTTGTATTGATGCCTTTTTGAGTTTAATGCAAGTTTCTAAGAAGACAGCCCGGTAAGAAATCTACAGAAACCCATCATTTAGAAATCTCAAACACAGAATAACACTGTTATCACTATTCACTGCTCCTGAATTAGTCTTTCTGCAAAATATCTATATTCATTCTACAAGTACCAGTACTCCACAGATCTGTAAAAAGCTACACAAAGAAGATGAAATGGTTTGGTGTGAGGGACAGGGTCCTAGGACAAGAATCCAAAGACCAGAGTCTATTCATTTTATACCTTATAATCAAGTGACCCCGAGCCAGTTCCTAGGTGTAGAAGTCCCTTGCTGTAAAATGGGAGTATCCTGCCTACCTTCCACATCCCACCCGGGGTCCCTCTTCGAACCTAACGAGACGATAGCTGTGGAAATGTCTGCCACTGGTAAATGCCATGGACAAAAAGGTGGTGGTCACACAAAGGTGCCTTTACAAAAACAAAGTCATGAATTGACAAGTACTCATTTTTTCTTTTACTGCAAAGAGGTTGTTAATAATAAAGGCACTGCAGGAGTAAAAATATAAATTATGTAACTAGATAGCTCAGTTTTTTTATTTTATCTTCTTAATATATAGAACATGTAAAATGATACTCTAGTTTCTTTTTTCACCTAAGGAACATATAAAAAGTTTGTAATTAAACTGATAAACATACTCAATTTGAGCATATGTTACTGACATCTTAATTGATAGTAAACTACACCATATCCATTCATGTGTGATCTGATGCTGGTTCTAACTCCTACAGATCCTTGAAAGACAAAGGGATTTTTGAGTCAGCTGCAGCAGCTAAGCCAGGCTGACATAAATCAATTATTTCTGCCCCTTGTGTGGTTGTGAAACTCTTGTTAAGTTTGATTTATAATATTGTACAATTTCTCTACTCTTACAGTGCAGATACACACACACATAGATTAAACCTAATTTCATTTGAGAATTTCATGACAATCTGTGTAAAGGTCGAATATTTGAAGTTGAATCTTAATCCAGTAAATTAAAAGGTCACTCCAATTTTGTTATATTCACATAGAAATAATTTCAAAGGCCGTAAGAAGCAAATCCTAACAGAAAACGTTTAAATGGAAGAAAAGTACAGCTTCAGCTGGTGGGAGAATAAATAGCATGGTGACATCCTGCAGAGAGGGTTCCCGTTTTCCGTGTGGCGCCTGCCCAGGGAGGCGGAGGAGCTGTTCTGTGGTCTGCATGCGTCTCCGTGGTGCTCATCAGCCCTAGTAACCTACTTTCCTTTCAGATGTCAGAATCGATAACTACAACAATGAAACGGTACTTCAGTTAGCCTCGTTGCCATGGGCCGATCACCAGGGACCGCTCCACTATGACAACTGACAAAGATCACGTATTTTACAAAGTGCTCCCTTCATTTGCAAGAAAATTTCCCAAGCAAGCAGGGCATGCTAAAGTTATATGCAAAGTGGAGTTTATACGGTGTCACAATCTACTAAAGGAAATTTAAAAGTCAGGATGGCATGATTTCCAATCCTTCCTGGTATTTATGAATACAGCGCGAGCACAGGAACATCTCAGTGGCAGAACACATTACGGGTACTCTCTGAAGACGGACACTGCAGTGTCTGGACTATTACATCAGCCTCTTTGCTGGTCTCCATGCTTCTGTCCTTGCTGACTACCTCCCTTACTCCTCCCCCCCGCCACAGTGCATTTCTCAACACAGCAGCCAGAGAGGTCCTTTTAAAATAAAATGTAAGTCAGACCATGTTACTCCTCTTCTCAAACCCTCCAACGTCCTTACTGTGACCTACAAAACCCTACATGACCTGCCAACTGGCCCACTGCTAACAATGCCCTCATCTCCAACTAGTTTGTCCCTCGTTTATTCTACTCTGGCCATACCATCCCCCATGAACCTATCAGGCGCACCTATCATGCGCACTTCTGCCTCAGGGCCTCTGCACTTGCTGCTCTCACCCCCTGAAAGGCAATGTGCTTCCCTTACACATCCACACAAGTAGGACCTTCTTACTCTTCAGGTGCTTCGCTTAGTCAACAGTCCCCTTCCTGGTGAGGTCTCAGGTCTTCACCCCACCTAAAATTTTAACTTCTTTCCAAGATTTTATATCCCCCTTCTCTGCTTTCTATTTTCTCCTTAGTACGTATTACTGCCACACATATTACTATCACGCATATTTTAGTTGTTTATCTTGTTTGTCTCTCCCATGAGAATGGAAGCTCCAGAGAGCTATTTCAGAATTTTAGCTAGTGATTTCTACATGCCTTTCCCTGGGTGACAGGCTTTAAAGGAACTGGTACCTTATTTAATTTTCATAGCATTAGCCTTACTTCGTACATAAGAAAATAGATTAAAGTAACTTCACTTTTGGAGAGTTCACAAGTGGGCAACTGGAATTAGAATCCAGACCTGACACCAAAGTCTCTCTGTTGAACAGTGTAAAATTATACCCAGACAATATTTGCAATAAATGAGGTTTTGTGATCTAAAAAACCTTCATTTATATCTCTAAATAAGAACAAAACCTACACCTGAAACTAATATAGTATTGTGCTTATACGTCAACCGTAATTGAAAAATAAAGAAAAAGAAAGAACAAAACCTCTGGGAAACCTACGAACGCCAGCAGCAGTGCAGCGCAGCGGACGGGACACTGTAATCCGGAGGGAAAACCTGAAGGCCCAGCGTCCGCGCCCTGCCACTTACTAGTGGCTGTGGGTTCTGAGCAATTCAGGCTCCCTGTGTTGACAACAAAGTGACTCCAATAGCACAGTCATGCTACATGTTAATGGGAACCCTCACTATAAGGTGGATATTTTTTTAAACATCGAGTTTAAGGTTGCCTTGTCTTCAGAACTTAAATGCAGTTTTTAAAGCTGTTACTTGGTCAATAGTGTTCATCCGTAGCCCATACTCGGGTCCTGGAAGGAACACAGAGTCACAAATAAAACCTAAGGAACCGCAATTCCTTGTGTCAAATTACTTAATTTAGACAGGGAGACCACCTGCTACAGCAGTGACTACTTTCCGATTTGGACGCTGTAAGACCTGCACTTCGGAGACTACTAGGTCCAGTCTGAAAAACCCGCAGCCTCCCACCAGATGGACAGTGGGGCCTGGAACTCAGTCTCTTCGGCAAAGGGCCAAGTTACCAAAAGGTGGGCTTAACTATGAAATACAGATTAGTTCAGGCTCAAAAAAACCTGACAAGCTTTCAAAAATTAGAAAATATAAGTGCAGACAGCTAAACTTAGAATTCATTTAGCAAGTATCACATAAAAATGGGCGCAGAACAGATGAAACCACACAGGGCACTATTTAAGAGGATACCAACACACATTCTAGTCCTTTCTGCAGGTCACTTACCCAGTCTTTGGTGATTTTTCTCCCAGAATTAAATCTCTTGGGTTGACTCTTGGTTTTCAAGATTCTAGAGAGCTTTATTGGGCATCAAAACTATTGCAGTCTTCCTTGGCTAGATGCTGCTTCTACCTCCGGTACACTTAGACCCGACAGATCCTGACTTAATTTGTTCTCTCCTGCTCCTCCCCACCACCCCCAACCC